TAGATTTATAAATTTAGCTTAGTATTATCGTATTGATATAAACTTATACGAATAGTTGAAATCAAGTATTAATTAAAGATACATGTATTGACAGTATGCATGGAAATATTATATATCTATACTCAATTTTAAAGAGAGCTTTACACTGTTGGCATTGTTGAAAAAATAAAGTATTTTTTTTGTGTAAGTGTATTGTTATCATGGGTTTAGATTGATCGAGGAAATCAAGATCTATCATTAACTGAATTAACTATTGACCAGCTTAAAGATGGTTAATTGTTCTACAGCTGCTTGTATATTGCTGGGAGTTTGCTATTTTACTCATTTATGCTGGCGTGTTGCCAATATGTCATAAATAGTTTCAGTGGGAATTATTAATTAACTATGAAATAGCTTTGTTTATTTACTCTGTATTCTTTTTCATATGCTACTCTTTCTTTTAGAAATTGCATTCTTCCTGTAAATTTTGTTGTAGTTTGACTGATGTTCCTTTAATCAGTGTCACAGAGATGACTGAATGTTTTAGTAAGCTTCTAGATGAAGTGGATGAATATGATCTCATACATGATCTGATTCTACAGGTAAAATAAGTTAGGAATCTTTGTTCTTCAAAAACAGAATTCTTTTAGTAAGATTTTCACTCTAACAAGCTAAGATCCTACGTTCTTCATATTGTTGCAAGTACATTAACTTTTTTTATTTTTTTTTTTGCAAGTTTTGAAATTTCAACCAGATTGTGGTACATGTTTTCTAAAATTGATGCAGCATTCACTCATGATAGATCATTCTCTGTTACTTTAAAATGTGGCATAACTAAGGTACATTAAGATATTGGTACAGAATCCAAAAATACTTAGGTAAATGCTCTTAACAGTAAGTTATCAATTTACCCCTTAACCCAATTCAGCCATGAATTAATTATGGAACATCAGCAATCTACTCAAGTGCACGTTAGTGCCAGAAATATGCACGGAAGGGCACCTGAGGTCTCCCTCCACCAGTAAAGCTGGAATGTTGCCATGTGACCTATACTGTGTCTGTGTGACGTAAAACCCAATCAAACAAACAACAATGAATTTATATAATAGTTTTAAAATTATATTTTGTAACCTTACGCTTAAATAATTATGTTAAGCTTTTGTAGCAGAGTGATCATTTTTCCTTTTTTGCTGCGGGTTTAAAACACATAGTGATTTTCAATTATGTTCTACTTTATCATACCTGAAACAATACACAGAGGGGTAATTAATCTGGAAAGGGGAATCATAACATAAGCTGTGTCACAATAATTTTAAACTGAACCAATCTTAATTAGAATGATCTGTTTTACAGGTACATGAACAGAGATGGCCTGTGCATAAATATATACTTGTTAACAGATGTGCCAATTTTCCTAGTCTTCTTGCCAACAAATCACAAACTTTGAATGAAATGGACATTCCTGTAATAGAACTAAATGACCTTCACCCTCAGATATTAGAACAGTTACTACAATTTGTATACACTGATACATGTGATCTCTTAACTATTGGTGCTAAATTTGTGTTGACCGAAGAATCAGCGAAGCATGACGAGATATTTCAATTAGACTTGGACAATTTTGACGGAGATTCTGACGTAGTGGCGGGAAATAAAAAACTGTCTGCGTATCATGTTGTACAGCAAGGGAAGAAGAAAAAGAAACATGCAGGAAAAGAAAATCACGAGGAAAATCACAGTCATGAAAGAAATCCAATTAAACTTTTGTTGGATGTTGCGAAAAAGTGGGGAGTGAAAGGACTGGCAAAAAGGTATGACACAAATGTTTGTTGTTTCTTGGTTTATCTTTTCTAAGTAAACAAAGAAATATTTAGTTATCTGATTATAAATGCTAAGAAGCTACAAATGGCTTAAAAAATTTAATGAAGTTAAATTGTATTACATGGCTAGAAAAAAAGTTCTTTTTACTGCAGAGAGACTTTTAACAGTCAATTTATATTGAAAACACTGAATTTATAGTCTTTAATATTTGTTTCCTTAAGTTTACAAAAAACTTATTGTCTGATTTACTTGCAAAAAAGTTACTTTGTCCATATAAGCATTAGTATAACAATACTGTTTTTCATTGTATTGAAGTAAGCAATTTGTATACTATATAACTGCTTGTTTTAGACTTGGATGTGTGAGTTATAAAAAAGGACAGATTTGCTCAGCTGGTAAAAGCATACCTAAAACAGCACTCAGGTTTGACAGAAATAAACTTAGGTGAGCAAATAATCTTTATCTTACAACAAAACATCAGGTTACTTTTTTAAAACAAATCTTTCAGAATGTTGTTATAGACAACTGTGGAATTGAAACATATTCAGAGTAAATTAGTAGCAATAATATGTTTTTATAAAAGTTGAGGCTACAATTAAGCACTGTCAATGTAAAAGCATTTCATGATTTTTGTCTCAACATAAACAGCAGTGCTATAGTGAAAGTCAAAACAATATATTATAAATCAAACCTCATACCAAACTGTACATTTTCTGCATAATTTGAAAAAAAAAGTTAAGTGAAGTAATGTCAGGGGGGAAAAATCAATAACGTGACATGATGAAAAAGATAGACAGGTTTGCTAGATGTAGTAATTTCCTATGGATTTAACTTACCACAGTGTTGGAGCAGTACCTCTAGACACTTGCAGAAATCATGATCAGTAGAAAGTAGAAATATAGAAATATGCTGATTCTTACATTTTTCATTCATTATCATTTATAAATCAGTGTGAAGAGATGACTTAAACATTTTAAAGTCCATTTGGGTTGTTGAATAGGCAGAATTTTAGCATTAAAGTATTCAAGCGCCTTTTCCGGAAAATACCGGGATATGGTATTTAGTGGGATGTTTCATCACTTGTTTTAGTCTAACTCATTTTCTACCTGTATATTCTGGTATATTTCAGGGACACTAAGTGGGAATTATATGATGTCAGTATACAGTCAGAGGATGATGTCACCTACCAGTGTCATAAATGTATCCTTGTAGCACGACTTGAGTATTTTCATAGTATGCTGGCATCAGGATGGATGGAGGTAGTATATCATAAAGTCTCACAAATTTTGCTGGACTATTTGAAAAATAGTTGGGTTATTCTTTGCACCCAGGCATCAGCATAACAATTTGGTGTATTTTCTTGTGCTCCTTCATATCTTATCAACAACTGAAGATATTTTGCTTGCAACTTCACACATTTATTTAAGATAATATTTGGAGGTCAGTGTTCAAGGACCACAACTCTGGCATAGATTTTTATTAGCTCGACCTTTTTTTTTTCGAAAAAAAAAGTAGAGGTATTGCTATAGTCGCAGCGGCGTTGCCGTTGCCGTCCGCAAACTTGTACCTGGATCATAACTTTTTTATTTCTTGGTGTATTGTCTTCATACTTGGCCACAACAACCCTTGGGACAAGACCTTTCAGTAGACCACACTAACCTTGACCTTCATCCATAAATGACCTTGACCTTCAAGGTTAAAAGTCCAAATTTTGCTTGTTCATGCTGTTATTGGCTGTAACTTTGTTATTTTTGAATGGATTGTCTTCAAACTTGAACATAATAATCTTCAAGGATATCCTTTAAAAATAACCTGACAGACCTTGACCTTCACTCATAAATGACGTTGACCTTGAAGGTCAAATTATTGAAATTTTCATGTTTTTGGCTATTATTGGCTGTAACTTTGTTATTTTTGAATGAATTGTCTTCAAACTTGAACATAATAATCTTCAAGGATAACCCTTAAAAATAACCTGACAGACCTTGACCTTCACTCATTAATGACCTTGACTTTGAAGTTCAAATTATTGAAATTTTCATTGTTTTGGCTGTAACTGGCTGTAACTTTGCTATTATTGAAGGGATCAACTTCATATTATAACAGAACATACTTAAGGACAAACCCTTGTTGTTTATCGTGACTTCACCACATGACGCCACCACGTGACACCACCACATGACTCCACCACGTGTCTCCACCATGTTTCTCCACCACGTGACTCCACCACGTGACTACCACGTGACTCCACCACGTGTCTCCACCACGTGACTTCACCACGTGTCTCCACCACGCGACTCCACCATGTGACTTCAACACGGGACTCCACCACGTGACACCACTACGTGTCACCAAGTGACTCCACCACGTGTATCTATAGAATTTTCTATTTATATAATTGTGTGTTTCTATTTATAGAATTTTCTATTTATAGAATTGTGTGTTTCTATTTATAGAATTGTCTATTTATAGAATTGCGTGTCTCTATTAATATATATATAAATTAGTATTTATATATATAAAATATATAGACAAAACTAATGTGACAAGACAGACCGCTTAATTTTATAAAAAGGAAACGTTAAGATTTTGTTCAAACATTTCTTTGTTTGCTTTTAGAGAAAGTAAAAAGTCGAGCGTTGCCCCGCCCAGCGTCATTAATTCCCACATTATCCATGCTCTTGTTTTACTATCCAGCACTGAGAATTGTTGAGCATTTTGTCAGATATCATTATTTATGTGGCTATAAAGATGTGACTGATTAAGATATAAAAGTGCTTGTATATAGATTTAATATGATACACTCTACTTTCACAGACATCATCTAGCACTGCACTGTCTCTTCCAGTACCTGGAGATATTTTAGAAATTCTTCTAGACTTCTTGTATACAGATGACTCCCAAGTTGTAAATTGTAAGAATTTTTCTCTGTTGTTAAAATGATTTGTATATGTATATGTATCTATTTATTAAGAATAATAAGGCACGCTTTTGTAAATGAAGTGGTGCTGTTGGTAGTTTTCATTCTGGATCACAGCAGTCAGTTACATTGAATTTACCTGAGCTTAGTTTAACAATCGCATGGTTCATTGGTAGGCCTTCAAGCAGTTTACCAGTACTAGTTGCCTTCACTTTCACAAGGAACTAAGGCTCCCACATTTACAATTTTTTGTAAATGTTTACACAACTGCTAAGAACCGAAACGATACCCGTTTAAACGGTGGTACCTCTATGTACTATATATACACACCATATATTTGAGTCGCCAAATGATGTCTTTCTTTCTATTTTTAATACATGTACAAATAAAGAATGTGCAAGGCTCATCACGATTGAGTCAGCACACATTTTTTGCATTGTAACCCCATTTTTTACCAAAAATGTATTATGTCATGAGCAATTTTGCACCGTAATGCTGTGTGGAGGGTTGTAAACACCCATTTTCCGTTTGTTTACTTTGGAATAAACACTACAACTACAAAAAATCCATGATTACAGGCAATGATTAAGAAATTTTGTAAGACAATATGGTCATTTCGATTAAACGGTAAACAATATCGTAAACGTTTATGAATGAAAATCGAAACGAATCCGTTTAAACGTGTAATCGTGGGGGCCTTACAAGGAACTGATAACTTCTGTACATGCCAGAGTAGAGGTGCAGTGCGAATGACCCTAGAAAGGATTTCATGATCAATCACAATGAAAGTGACCTGCCTGTCCCCGGATCGAACCGGGATCTCCCAATTCACATTCAAAAACTCATCCTATTGAGATAACAGGACTGTTTTTGTAAAAGTTAAGATAAATAAATAAAAAAAGTCTTGTTAACCATTCATATATTTAAGGTTTTGTACTGTTAAAGGCACTCTACTGAGCTCAAAAGCTTAAAAAAGAAAATACATATTTTTGCTAAGATCAAGTGAAACAGTAAAACAGGGAAACCCTGCAAAGGATGATAAAGAAATATGCTCAGAATTAAATAGAAATTCAATTATTTGTGCTGTTCTTGGCTCAATTTGAGTGAAAAGCATTGCAACGCTTTTCATTTTTAGGTCATTTTGCACTAAAAGAATAATTATTGCGGTCAAACGGGTTAAAGGAATAATCTGAAATTTTGCATATAATTATTGGACCAAACCTACATCAAATGGTACACAAATACTGGAAAAATATTTTTAGGTTTGTCATGCCTCAGTGGAGTCCCTTTAATTTCTTCTCTAGCTATTTCTGTTTTATGTAGAATGACTCTTTGATGGTCATATGTTGTTTATTAACCTTTGCATTAAAGACATTAAGTTCCTTTTGAGGCATTATTTGTGCTAATACTACCAAGAGATGGCATCAAACCCGTTGTGGATGTCACAAAACAGTTTGAACTGAGCTTACTATTTAGCCATTAAACTGAGCTAACTACTTAGCCATTAAACTGAGCTAACTACTTAGCCATTAAACTGAGCTTACTACTTAGCCATTAAACTGAGCTTACTACTTAGCCATTAAACTGAGCTTACTACTTAGCCATTAAACTGAGCTTACTACTTAGCCATTAAACTGAGCTTACTACTTAGCCATTAAACTGAGCTTCTTTCTTAGCCAAAGAGGCCTTAGATGTTTTATATTTGTTAAATTGTTGTCACATATAAAAATGATTGTGTCTTTTTATTTTCAGCCACTCAGAATGTAGAGTTATTGTGTAACATTCTGGTTGTAGCTGATCAGATGTTGGTGGTCAGACTAAAACAAATGTGTGAAGCTGCAATAGCTACCCTCTGTAAGTCCTTACAGATAAAGATTATCATTTCAATATCATTTCAATAATTTATCAGCCTTTTTTAATAAGTATTCTTCTGTTAAAAATCCTAAATTTATTATAATAAATCTTTTGTTGTTTAAGTAATCAATTATTATTCAACCTTTAAACTATACATGTATAGAAATTTGATAAGGAATTAAAGTTGAGTATCTAAGTGGTAATTAATACATACATGTGAACTCTCCCCCTTTTAGCGGGAAACTCCCACTTTCTGCAGCCATTGTTTCAAAGATAATTCTTAAAATAAGGGGTATTTTCACAAATTAAAGAAATCTCCCAATTTTTGATATCAGAACTTCCTTCTTTGTTTATTGCAAATTCCAAAATCCCCCTCTTTTTGAAATAAAATCTCCTCTCTGACCATCAAAAAAATTTTACATGTTTAATATTAAATATCATATTTTTTTTAAGAAATTGTTCTCACTTACATGGCTCTGATTACGTTTAAATGTATTTGTCCGTGTATGCTGGATGTTTGTTGTATGTATGTAGTGACATTAAAGAATGTTGGAGAGTTGTTGGAGTTTTCTACCATGTATAATGCTGATCAACTGGAGGCTACATGTAAACAATATATCATCCTAAACCTACCTGCATTGTTTGAAGGGAGGTGGGTATAATTATTAAACACATTTTGAAATTTTACATGCTTTATAAACACTTGTTTAGTATTATCATGGCTGTATATATAGTAAATGTAAGGTTAATATTTGTGTCTTAGTAATTTTCATAAAGAAGTTTGTTTCATTATTCCATTAAGGCCCATGCATTGTCATATTAAAGCATTGTTTTGTTGTTGTTACTTTTGCTACTGAAAGGTTATACTGAAATACATGTATATCAAATACAAATGAACTTGTATATAGGTAATGGTATAGTTATGAGATGTGGAAAATGAGTATTTGATCATAGATATGCTGCTTGATTTCAGGTACCTTGATAATTTAAGTGATGATGTCATTGAAAGCCTGTCCAAGTATTATAAAAATTCTGTAAGTTGATGCTCATATTTATTTACTTGTCTTGAACTTAAAGCGGCATGCCTCCAGATTTATGCTTATTTTCATGAAAATTTTGAAAATGTATTTTAAAGTAAAATACTGTGAAGTGAACGAAGAAAATAAGTTACAAATTGCAAACGGCAATTACAATCCAAGTAATTACCAAAAAAGAGGTCAAAATATACATAAATACCTCTTACTGCGTTACTAACGCAGTAGAATTATAGTGATTGATATTGCAAAATCAGTCATTAATCGCACAAAAGATGTAAATAATTAATTAAATATTGAATCTTTTTACTTTTCTTAAGATCTTAATACATTTTTCTAAAAATTGAATTTCTTGAAATATTTTGGCTCATCTGGAGGCGTGCAGCTTTAACAGCAGCTTGTTTTGATTTTTGAACACTGAATAAACTGAGGTGGGGGGGGGGGGGGTTGTTTTTTCGTTTCATCTAGCCTTAATGTTGACAAAGTAACATTCAATTATGAATTTACTGTTAGGTTTAACAGTTTATATGTTAACAAGTGGTACAGTGTTACAAGAAATAACAATTCATATAAGACATAAAACACTTGTTATATTTGCATGTTTTTGAAACATTTGTAGATTCCAAACATGTCTCGCCGAATGATTACACCTTATGATGAAAGCCCGGAAAAAGCATATTTGGAATACATAGCATCTCAGACAAATGAAGATTCTGAAAATAATGTGACTGGGGCCTCTATTGATACCAAAAAGAGTAAATCTAAAAGAAAGAGAAATAGAACGAAAAGTTCAACAGATGAAGTGGAGAAGGAATCAGACAGGGGTACAAGAAGAATGTCAGAAAGGTTGTTATCAGTCAGCTCAGATGTCAGTATTAAATCAGATGAAGATTCTGTCAGTCTACATGAACTAAGCATAGATTGTACAGGAGATGGGAAGGTACGTGTCTGCTCTTTATCAAATTTCATACAATTCTCTGTCTTTGTTTTTATCATTCCATGACAGGTCACTATATAGAATAATGGTGTAGTAATAAATTGATTGTTACTTGAATGTACTCTAAATATTGAATTAAGGGAAATTATCAAAAAGTAAAAATTCATCCAATTCAGAAATGCAATTAATTAAATTAATCATGTAACCAGGATTTCAATGATTACTGATTACATCTTATGACATGATGTTTTCAATCAATTACAATTTACAGTTACCACATCTCTGCTCTTAAATTTGCCAGTTTCAACCTAAAATGTTGTGCTACATGTAAAAGTTCATATATTGATAAAAATTACCAGTTTAGGATTTCTGGTTTATTTATTAAACTTATCCTAAAGTATGCATTAAACCTGGCTAATAGTAGTATACTAAAGTCTTTGTACAGTGACATTTACTACAGTAGTATTGATTATTGGTTATAAGGTTATTTTTAGATCAAGTTATTTATAGATATGACATTGTGAAATGGTTGAATATAGGACATTTATACAGTTATAAATACGTTTCTAGAAAGCTTAAATAGAAAAAAATGCTTATTATGTAATGAATTTTGAATTTAAAATGATGCATTGTAGAAAATTAAAATTAGTAAATGTTATATTTCTGTATGATTATACAGACAATTAAAATAAATAAATGAATTATTTTTTGTTTATGGTTTATAATAACATATGATAATAATGACCCAGTTGGGACATTCATGGACTGAAGATATATATAAGTTTTCCTGGCCTGTCAAGAGTTAATATTGATTGATGATGGATCAAACCTTGGTTTGTCCTTAGAATAAGACAATTTTTGAGTGTTGGTACACTTCAATGTGTACTAAATACAAAATAAATTATTATGTCAACTCTTTTCATTGCTTAATTCTTGGTGATTGAAATTACCAGGCATATTGTGTTCACATGTAGGTATTTCTATTTTACCACTGCTAATAACAGTGGTAGATATTTGACTGAATAATAATAAAAGACTTAATGTTTGAGATACATTTTTCTTTGTGTAATGACATTGCATACAGGATTTTGATTAATATACTTGTAAAGAAAGAACTTTTGTATTAGGAAATATAAACAAATATACAACTTGTGGATTATTTTGTTGAGTAGATAGCAAGAAGCTATTTTATCAAATATTGAAGCATGATAAACATCATATGCTAAAGAGGTTATGTATTTAACTGTACTGCAAAAATGGTTTGACCTTAAAATACATCAGAAATCTCCATCATATAGTGGCTTATGTTGTAAGCGTGTTCAAAACAAATCCTGTCTTGTACTTTGAATTTTTTCATATAAGGAAGGCCGAAGCTACCCATCTATCAAATTCAAAGGTTGTTGGTTCTTCTCATATAATGTACCAAGATGCAGCTTATGTCTTCCTCCACATGTAAAGCTAAGAAGTTGAGGGATGGCCTTAAAAATGTTTGTTATAATCACCATAACAAAAATGTGTAGATATACAAATGTACCAGATAAAAGCTTCAAAGAACTAGCTTTTAAAATTGAGAATGCAGAACAAAGCCATCAGTTAACTTCTTTTTTTTCTTGTAGATGTCACCAAGAAGTCCAATAAGTCCATGGGATGGCAGTAAAGTTCAAAAGAGTCCAAATCTAAAGTCTCCTGTTATTACAAAGCATACTGGGAACCAGGGTTTAAAGACTGGCAAGGAACAGAAACAAGCTACAAGTCACCGGTCCCCGGCAGGATCTGTACAAACACAAGCCAGTAGCCAGGTGTCTGTAAACAATCAGACTCCAGAGAAAGAATTTCCAGGGCTGGTTCCTCAGAAAAATCTGGATAACAATATCATTACTGGTGTAACCAGCAGTCCTAGTCTGCGTGACATTATGCTAGAGGAACAGAGCAAGATATCCAGGGAAAATAGGTAATTGTAAAAATTAAACATTTAATGAAAAAACAAGATTTCCATAGAGAGGTTTTCTATGAAAATTAATGGGGAAAAAATTGAGTAACACCAAGACATGCATATTTCAGAAAAGAAATGATTTTTTATATAAAAAATAAGGCAACACTACACGTAGCTTATAGTTGTAAAGTGTAATAACTTGGTTTATTAAAAAAATTTTTTTTTTAAATGTGAAATGTTACAATTTTAGGCAATTGATAACATCCTCTTTGTAAAGAAATCATTCAAGAAAGATAATCAAGTCCTATTGCATTTAATCTACATTTATTATAAAGCTAGCTTTTGGAAGGTTGATTGTTCAACTGATGTGCGTGTTTGTGCTTGAGATAATGTAAATTAGGAAAGTAACCATATGACCTTAACAGAGTGTTAAAGCCCAACATAAAAGAGCAATATTTAATAAGTGATATTTTTGTATGAATGTTTCAGTGGTAGGAAAGCAGGGAAAGTGTCTTGGAAAGAAGTGAAGAAACAACAACAGCAAAAAGTTGCCACTCAACATAATACTATAAACAACAATATTGTTAGTGCTAGCACAAATGGGTCAAAGGTCAATGAACAAAATACCTTGCAGGGAAATAGTGTAAACAACAAAACAGTTGGAGCTGCATGTCCATGGTAAAATAATGTGATATGCATACCATTCTTGCAACTAACTTTACAGCTGAAATCTAAAAACTTATTTTGATGCATGATTTGACCTCTCATTATAAAATATGGCAGTATCTTTTGATTGCTCTTTTAAAAGCATAGAGGTTACAACAGAAAGAAAATTTATTGATGATATAAGCATTTTATGATATCTATGACTGGTAAAAAGAAATAGATTATTTATATTTACAGAGTTATTTAAGTCTTGATAGAATTTGTTCGTTCTACATGTTTAGCTTTAACTTTCGTTACACAGGGCATCTCTAAACAAAGTTGTGAGTTCATTCAGAAACTTGATGGTTGAGGATCAACAGGCAACAGTTGAAAAAAGTGCACCAAAGGTTAAAGGTCAACAACAGGTCAAGGGACAACCTATAGTAAAACCGAGAACAGTTGTCAACAAGCAAGACCAGGTGAAACATCAGTCACAACATAGTAATGTTCTCAGCTGGGGCCTACCACAGAACAGCAAGACATCAAGAACTTCCAGCACTTCACAGGCAGTTTCATCTCCAACAGATATTGCTCCTCCAAGGAATGCTTGGGGTGTTGAACCTGCTAGTCCAAGGTCACCTGACAGCAGTTTGATGGCATCAGCCATGGCACAAAGTCCCTCCGACTCTGTGTTTAAGTTCTCAGATATAGTCAAGGATGAGCAGCAGAAAACTGATGTGTTAACTAAAACAACAAATAAACCTCTACATCTTATTCAGGTAAATGTATATTCTTAGTTTTAGTTGACAATAGCAATATTTCTTTTAAGTTGATGATTGTCATTTGTCCAGTTTTTTGCCCTAGAGTCACAATAGCTAATGAAGCTTAGGATGTAGATTTTAAATCACTTGCATGTAAGTTATGAATTCAGTGAAGTTAATTTTTTGTATGTATGGGTTATAAACTGGGTGTAACTTTTGTAAAGGGTGAATAAATCTTGTGATGGGAGGACTAAATAAACTTAAGAATGGGGCTGGTATGAATAACTTTGAAACCATGCGATCAAGATGGCCTAACATGGTTGACAGTGTTATACCCAGTATGTAAAGTAATTTTTTTTTAAATTTTCCAGGGAAAAATAAAAAATGGTTATGTCCGATTAAATGAGGGAAAAGCCCATCTCAGTATTTGCAGGAAAGGGTTTAATCATCTTTTTCCCCTTGTGAAAGCTTGATAGTCTTATGACGGGAATCCCCAATATAAGAATTTTTTTCCATTTACTGAATGTTTTGGGATTCTATTCCCTTTATTTTTTCTCAATGAAAAGAAAAAAAAATTATATTTTACTCTGAAACTCAAAAGAAATCAATAGATATTTGTAGTTTATATCAATCAAAGAACAGAAATGTAAAAGTGTAGATTGAATTAACTTTGTATCATTTATGAACCATTTTAACACTCTGACTCATAACACAAACATGCTTTTCACATTGATTTAGCCTAAACTATGTTTAATATTGTTATTCATGCAATGTAATATCCAAAATTTAAAAAGAAAAAAATCTTATTTTTTGTCTTTATCAATATAACAAAACATTTGCTTTTTTAATTTTTAACCAGGTTTTCAACGAAAACCGGGTTATTGTAATGCCGAAGTCGGCGGGCAGGCAGGCGGGCGGGTGGGCGTCAACTTTTGGTTTCCGCTCAATAACTTTAGTTTGCTTTGGCCTATTGACACCAAACTTGGTGTATGGATAGCTTATATCAAGAGGCAGCTTGGGATTGCTACCCAGGTGTCTGTGATCAAGGTCAAGGTCACTGTTACTAAAAACAGAAATTCAGTTTCCGCTCAATAACTTGAGTTTGCTTTGACCTATTGACACCAAACTTGGTGTACGGATAGCTTATATCAAGAGGCAGCTTGGGATTGCTACCCAGGTGTCTGTGATCAAGGTCAAGGTCACTGTTACTAAAAATAGAAATTCAGTTTCCGCTCAATAACTTGAGTTTGCTTTGGCCTATTGACACCAAACTTGGTGTATGGATAGCTTATATCAAGAGGCAGCTTGGGATTGCTACCCAGGTGTCTGTGATCAAGTCATGGTCACTGTTACTAAAAAATAGAAATTCAGTTTCTGCTCAATAACTTGAGTTTGCTTTGGCCTATTGACACCAAACTTGGTGTATGTGACACCAAACTTGGTGTATGGATAGCTTATATCAAGAGGCAGCTTGGGATTGCTACCCAGGTGTCTGTGATCAAGGTCAAGGTCACTGTTACTAAAAATAGAAATTCAGTTTCCGCTCAATAACTTGAGTTTGCTTTGGCCTATTGACACCAAACTTGGTGTATGGATAGCTTATATCAAGAGGCAGCTTGGGATTGCTACCCAGGTGTCTGTGATCAAGGTCATGGTCACTGTTACTAAAAATAGAAATTCAGTTTCTGCTCAATAACTTGAGTTTGCTTTGGCCTATTGACACCAAACTTGGTGTATGTGACACCAAACTTGGTGTATGGATGGATAACTTATATCAAGAGGCAGCATGGGATTGCTATCCAGGTGTCTGTGATCAAAGTCAAGGTCACTGTTACTAAAAATAGAAATTCAGTTTCCGCTCAATAACTTGAGTTTGCTTTAGCCTATTGATACCTAACTTGGTGTATGGATAGCTTATATCAAGAGGCAGCTTGGGATTGCTACCCAGGTGTCTGTGATCAAGGTCAAGGTCACTGTTACTAAAAATAGAAATTCAGTTTCCCCTCTATATCTTGAGTTTGCTTTGGCCTATTGACACCTAACTTGGTGTATGGATAGCTTATATCAAGAGGCAGCTTGGGATTGCTACCCAGGTGTCTGTGATCAAGGTCAAGGTCACTGTTACTAAAAATAGAAATTCAGTTTCTGCTCAATAACTTGAGTTTGCTTTGGCCTACTGACACCAAACTTGGTGTATGGATAGCTTATATCAAGAGGCAGCTTGGGATTGCTATCCAGGTGTCTGTGATTAAGGTCAAGGTCACTGTTATTAAAAATAGAAATTCAATTTCCACTAAATAACTTTAGTTTGCTTGGGCCTTTTGACACCAAACTTGATGAATGGGTAGCTTATATCAAGAGGCAGCTTTGGATTGCTACCCAGGTGTCTGTGATCAAGGTTAATGTATTTAGTTTTCATGTTATAACTTGAGTTTGCTTTGACCTTTTGACAATAAACTTGCTGAGTGGCAGCTTTGGATTGCTACTTAGAAATCTGGGAGCAAGTTCAAGGTCATTTGCTTACAATAGAATTTTCAGCTTCTACTCAATAACTTTAGTGTACTTTGACCTATTGATTGCTGTCACATCAAAATTTGGTCGTTGAAAACCTGGTTTTCGTCGCATTGCGGCGCTTCTTGTTTTTTTGATATATGGATATTATTTTGTATGAATAACAATATTAAACTTATTTAAAGTCAAACAATGTGACTAGCACCATTGTAATAACATTTCCATTAAGAAAAACAAAGATTTATTTTTTCTATTTTTAGATTGAAGAGCAAGCTATCCAGGATTTATTGAAGTTTTACAAGGCAGATGAGAATGTAGATGAAATTATCACTGTGGAGAGGGTGGTACAAGCATCTGCCACACCTGTCTGGAAACGTGAAAGAGTACAGTCTTCGTGAGGGTGGGAAATAGTCGAAGTAGTTTGTTTGAAAGCCTAGGATAATAAACTTAATAAGCCATGAATGATTATTTTATGGGAAATCTGTATATTTTTTGAAAAACGTAAGAAGTTCAACATGCAATGAAATATTTTTTCTATAATTTAAAAAGGGAGAGAAAAAAACAATATTAAAACAGAAATGAGCCGTGTCACGACAAAACACAATGCGTTTGCGACCAGCATGGATCCAGACCAGCCTGTGCATCCGCGCAGTCTGATCAGGATCCATGCTGTTTGCATACAAACCCTATAACAAGTAGAGAAACCAATAGCGAACAGTATGGATCCTGATCAGACCGTGCGGATGCGCAGGCTGGTCTGGATCCATGCTGGTCGCAAACCCATTATGTTGGTTTTGTCGTGACACGGCTCAAATGATCATCCTTTGACTTTTAATGTTACATGTTCTGGATCTGGAAGAAGTTGAAAAAAGTGTATGAATTACATCTAAAATTACAGGAAAATTGAGAGTAAAAAATAAAATTGTTCAAGTTGAGGAAATGAGATGGAATATATGTTGCATCATAGTTGTCATTGTAATATGTGAAACTTTATGTACAAATGTGAAAAAGAAAATGTGTGAATAGTCAGTGCTAGGTGTGAAAAGAAGTGCTAAATTCATCCATGTTCACAATTTAAGATGTAATTATTGCAGAAGTGCACATTTGGGATTACATGTAGTTAAAATCAGCTTAAATCAATTATTTGTGCAAATGACAATGTTTTTACTGTAAAGATTTCATTAATATCAGCATGAATCTGGGGTTATTTTCTTTTAACAGACATGTACAAAATGTATATGAACATATTTTGTAAATGAGAACAGATTTAGAAGTTGAGAAATTATTATAGCTTGACAGTGTTATTATGTTTAATTTTGCTCAAGATTTGATAAAGAAAATCTCAATTCTTTTTTTTAATTATTGGAGAGACTGCTATAGCTTTGTGCCAAAATGTGTATATTTCTCAGTATTTGAAGATATTGTGTATATTTATCATTTACCTCTGTAACTTTTCAATTGAATCCTTTCAGATTTTTACATGTATATTAATCAGCCTCTTCTGCTACATTTTTATGTTCCTTTTAAACAGTTTCTACCTTTCACAAACATTAATGTAAATGAGATGTTCATTTTTTAATACTAGATGTACAAATCGTATATTAAAGTACTAGATGAATATAATTTTGTCTCCTACATTTTGTAAAAGTGATTTATTTTGGTATTATGTACATATGGAATTGTATCATATAAAGTGAATTACATGTGGAAAGAGCTTGCTTCACTGAAAGATTGCAGTTTCATTTTAAAATTTTTGTTAGGTCATCCTATATAACTTAAATTAAAGGTGTTGTTTAAATGTTAGTCTCATTGGGGAAACGCAAGTCCATTGGCTTCATATTTCTTGACCACCATCAGTGATTGTTCAGATCTTTAGGGAGATTACATTTGTGAAAAACTAGTCAGTTATCTCCTTAAAGTTTCATTGTTCATCCCATGTAATCTTCTTGTACCAACATATATTTAATAAGGGACCGTTTGGACTTTCATCCACCAAAACAAGTTTAAGAGATGCCATATGACCTCACCATTGACACCTGAATTCAAAACCTAGCAAAAAAGAAAACATGTTTTACAGTACATACTCTTGACATTCCATGAAAGATTAAACTAATGGCAATTTGATATACTGTTCTCATTTCTTATAGGAAAGCCTGACATTTCCTTTCATAATGGAAATTTTACAATGTTTGCATTATACATAATGTATTAATTATTATGACCTTAGAACTTAAATGACCTATGACCTGTTACATATTTTATGTGACTCATGTTTTAGATGGTTACTTATTGTCTGTTGCTTCTTCATCTATAAATGTCTCATTTTCTAATAAGTAATTTACACTGCATTTTTTTAATTTCATTTTCCCTTTGGGGGAATAAGGTTAAATTTTGTTGCTGATTTAAATTTAAAATTTTTCATTATTTAATTATTAACATTTAAAAGTTTGTTTTTTTCATTTTTAATTACGAAACCTTTTGTTTTGTTTGTATATTTGCATGAATTAAGATCATTGTTTTGGGAAAGGCCATATCCTAGGAATTTTGTTTTTATTTGTTTTATATGAATAAATAAATATGAATAAATACCCTAGAATAAAAACCATTTTTTGTCCCAAAAAGTGTAACGTAGATAATAAAAAATAAAAAAAGGTAAAATTTTTTTGTTTATACGTTATATTTCAGAGTTTTTGTTACAGAGAATATTACCCCAAAAAACAAAATTTTTGTTGTTTATTAAAATGAGTGATTAATTGATTTTTATTCATTTAAAACATGTATTGCAATGAAATTTTATTAAACTCAAGGGAGTGTATTCTTTTCTCAATGAATTTGGACTTTTGAATATGGATATTCTTTCTTTGTATTGTTTATAATATACCCTCTGAATTTGTATTCTTTGAATTTGTATTCTTTACTTCTTGAATTTGTTTACTCAAGTCTTAAAATATGTATTTTTTGCTCTTTGAATCTGTTTTCTTTGCTCTTTGACTTTATACACTTTGCTGTTAAGAATTTTATTCTTTGAAGATTTGTAGGCTCACCTTTGTTTATGTAATCTTATCTATTTGAATTTGTATACTTCACTGTAAATGTGTGAATTTACAAGTATTATTAGCCCTGAATTTGTAAATTAGTACATTCGACTCTAGTTTTGTAAATTTGTATACATGTACTCAACTCTGATTTTCCAAATTGACTTTTTTAAATGAATTTATCAATAGTTGTCTATAAGTTTCTATTGACTTCTATGCTTATAGAAAGGATTGTTGATATTATCCAAATAAGTACTGTCAAAAGTTAATTTATTTTGTAATAGATGCATGTAATCAAATGAATGTTTAAACTTACTTTAAAGTGCTTACCATTACTGTAAAAAATGCATTTTAGACAATTCCATTACCATGGTGACCACTGTATAATTGATAAGCTTTAATTAAGCTCATTTTGTGTCACTGCCAAAATTATAGGGGTTATAGTGAATTAACATGTGATGTAATTGTTGAATAAATTGTTGCAATAATATAAACTTGTTTGTCTTTTATCTTATATCAGCTAAATGGTGAATATGGTGTTAAAAGTGAGGTATAATGATCCTATTTTGTACATAATTTGCCTGTCTCTCTGTCTGTCCAGCTAAAAATCATTCCAGTGAATTATTGTTCATAACTACAGAAATTTAGCAAGTGCAAATTGAATATTAACTTGAAAATTTTCTAAGAGATACTTTTTTAGTTGTTTAAAGAACACTATTCCTTTCAAAGGTATGGTTGCAAATTTATCTACTTCATTACATTTCACAGATATAACATTATCTAATTCTTGAACAGTAAGGGAAAAAAATAAATGTGCTAAATAAGATGCTTTAATCAACAATAAAACCCAACTGTATACTCGTACCACATTTTTTATTAAATTTAATTCATAGTGAATAAATCATTGCGCCGTTGTACCTTTATTTGCAATATATGATATCCTTTTACATTGATTTGCATAACAATCTATCAGCATCAGCAGACGAACATCTTCCCTGGAAACAATTAAACCAGTATGTGAATTACAGACACTTGTCACAAACTGTCCATGAAATAGTGTACTATATTCTGCGTGTATATATGTGTTTATTTCCTGAATTCAAACCATCACATCGAGATTAAAATCTGTATTTCAGTTTGAAGCAGCTTGATATGTTTACTGTTCAAACTTGGCAATATGTTAGCAATTTCCAATTAGTGACATAAGTTTTCAAGAATAATATTGTATATCATAAGAAGATTTTATCTTTTCTTTTTCTTTTTTTGCAATTGAAAATGTGATCAATACATGTTAATAGGTAGGCAATCTGTTGTCGATTTTACTGTAAAATTATGATAATATTTATCATATGATATAAATTTACTGCAACAATGGATCGTAAATTTGTCTGTCTTATTTTCGGGATATTTTTCATTGCAAGTGTGTTTAAACTGGATGCTGGTAAGTGAAACATTCCTTTATTAGATCTAGTTTTTTATGCTCTATAATTAAAAAACGCAATGCTGCAAAACGTTTTTAAACCATAAAGAGACTTTTAAGACCGTTGTTAGTTTAGAATTACACGTTCAGTTGTTGCTACGTCTTATTATATTTGAAAAATCAAGATTATTTTATCAATGTATAAGCATTTGATGGTATTTATTTGCTAAATTTGCTTAGGAAATAGATCTATATCAATTCTGAGTGCATTGTTGTAGAATAGTTCAAATGCGTAGTAAAATAATCACGAAGGCCGATAAGCCGGAGTGATTAATTACAAAGCATTTGAACAAAAAGCCGTGCATTATTTAAGAAATAATATATCCCAAACTGTGATTTTATGGCTCAATAAAATCACTGTTTGGTGTTCGGATGCTAGGAATTATATCACGAGGGCGTACCCCGAGTTATATAATGATGAGCATCCGAACTCCAAACAGTGATTTTATCAAGCGATAAAATCACCGATTTGGATATATTATTTCGATTCTAACACGACAACAAATAAATGCTGCCGTACCTGATATAACTTGCGCCTGATTTGTTTCCGTACTTATTTTCAGCGCATCGCATTTTAGTGGTTATGTCACATATCTTAATATTGTTAATGTCGTGTTAGAATGGAAATAATATATCCAAATCGGTGATTTTTATCGCTTGATAAAATCACTGTCGTTCGGATGCGCATCATTATATCACTCGGACTTTGCCCTCGTGATATAATTTCTCGCATCCAAACTCCAAACAGTGATTTTATTGAGCAATAAAATCACAGTTTAGGATATATATTATTTCTTAAATAACACACACTTTCGGTTCTTCTGTGTTCAATAAGGGAAAAAATGCAGGTTGTGTTGGAATGCACATTCTACATTGGTAATCGATTTATAATGTACTGGTTCCAAGTAAAATATTCTGCCCTCCATGCAATTAAAATCTAAGATTGACCATATATGTTCTTAACTTTACAGAAGCACGAGGATGTCCGTGCATACCACAAGAAGAGTGTAATGGCAGACGTCAGTATGTGGATTGGACCTGCAGCTGTAGTAATTCGGACCTTGTCTGTTGTTGTCACGAACGGTTCACACAATGATGGAAATATATTAAGCACAGTTTGGTAAAGACCTGTGTTTTCTCTGCTTAAGAGCACGCTATACAATTTGGTATTAATGTGTATGTCCCATGCATTTAATGCCAACTGCCAGCAAATTTCTTCAAAGATAAAAATGTCGAGAAAAGTCTGGAAATATCGGAATATAATCATGTTATCTTCAGTGAAAAACTCATGTTTATTGTTTTATCCTTTGACATTGTTTTTGTATTAACACACATGAACACAGTCATGTACCTTACGTGCCCCTCCTGTAGTGTTCATAACATGCATTAATGTCATATAACAGTAAATACTTTACCAGTTCATATTATTTTGTTGTTTCCAGTTTAAATCTGTTAACATTTGCACATATATACCACGGACATTGAATAACATAAATGTGTACAGAACATATAGATTATATGTAAAAATTTAAACCAAATTCAAGTCAGGGATGTCTTTTACCATCTCACAAACATATAAATGTCGAAAGTTTCTTCTTTATTTTTCAAAAAGTTCTGGTCTGGTGTTTGACTTATGTTTGATAAAAATCAAGATGACAATGAAATGAATACAAAATTAATAAATGAAATAAAAATTGTTTTCAAGTGCAATAATTTTGTCTTCGTATTAACCATGTACATTACAAATTCTGTTATTGAGTGGTGTTCGTTCAATTTAATGCCTACATGTGAAGTGGCCCTCAGAAGAGAAACTCTCAAAGGCAACGACAAAATATATATTTCACCCGTTTGTAACAATTTCTATAGACCTTTTTACGACGCGGTCCGTTGCTATGAAAAATTGACCGGAATTAGAATTTTCTCGCGCATGCGCAATCTGCGTAGGGCAAAACAAAGCTTCGCCCTACATAGAAATATAGTAGTTCATAGACAATTCCGAGTTAGTTCAAGGTAAACGGTAGAAAATTATATAAAATAGCTTTCAACAAATATAGAAAAGGTGACTTTATAGCTTTGTGGCGAAGAATGCCATAAAAAGGCATGAAAAGGTACTTGTTTAAGAATTTAAGATCACGGACCTGACACTGAGATCATTTTTTTAAAGAAGATGTGGAAATATATCTATTAGCAAATGAAAAGTCAACTTATTTGCTGTTGAAATAGTTCATTTTAAAAACAAAAGAAATTATTTAACATGAAATCGAGATTTATTATCATTCAGCAAAAAATCTCAGAACAAGTAATAATGCAATTTTAGTGTTCAATATATATATTTATATCCTAGCTTTATCCGATTTGCCTGTGATGCAAACAGAAAGATTTAAGTCACATAAATAGATTTAATTTTTTTTTCAAAATCTTGAAGAGTTAATTAAGATGGGTTGTTTGGAAAAGATATAACACACATTTTATCCGCTTCTTCGTAATACATGTTATTTCTAATAATGCACGTCACACAAATTTTCTCTTCTCAAAATCCATAAACATTGATCGATATATTTAAAATTTACATAAATTACCATTTTAATAAGCGTAACTGATTAACTATATCGTGATATTTAACAAAAAACGTTCGCGTGCCAATCTGTTTGACACTTGCCGCCTGGCCAATCCAGTTATTCAAAGGAAGCGTACAATTCAAATTGTGTAATATTATGTAATACAGGGGTAATACAATTTTATCTTTAACACCATCCTGTTTCAATTTAAATTACTGATGGAACAGTCGTCTAATGATACATTAAACAAAGACATGTGTGTGCCCGTTTTGACCATTGAATTATTACTCCCGCACATTTTTGTAGATCTGTTAAAAAATAAATTCACGTTTTCAGTACTTACCGCCTTAAGTCATCCGAAAATTAATATGTTTTGGGTGACATAACATGAAATCGCATCTATTAAAGCCTTAAATTATGATAAACTGTGGACATCGTTATTGCTTTTTGCCCTACGCAGAATGCCCATGCGCGAAATGCAACATTCGTTGCTATGAAAAATCGTATTGTAAAAAGGTCTATAGACTGTCTGGTCGAAAAGTTAGAAAATACTGACTTCGTTAGCAAAAGCAAACTTTGTGAGGCACGAATTGAAAATAATTATAAAAAAACAAGGGAGGGGGGATATATCATGACTTATCTATTCGTATTAATTAATTATTATTCTTAAGCACACCCCGGCTATCTCTACAATATAAATGACGATAATGCCGAACTTTCTGCACATATAGTATCTTATCATCTACAATAGCTAGTATTATAAATTGACCTGCAGATGTTTATACTGTTAAATTTTCCCTTGATTATCTTGGTATGTAATGCAAACTCGGCGAATTTAAACAACAGGTAAGTCCACAATTTGTTCTTAATTATATTTCAAAATAGCTCACTTTATTTAAGACTCGTCGTGATAATGCTAATTTATATTTGATTTATGATTTAAGATTTAATGTTACTTTGAACAACTTTCTACTCTAATATAATAAGATTATAAAAAGCATGGCTGCAACTTTGGATGAACAGAACAGAACAGAACAGAAACTTTATTTTCAGACTTGTACAAAATACATCGTCTACACAATACAAACAATTAAATATATTTAAGTATAAGTCACATTACATAATAATATCATAGTCAAATGTTAGCAAAGCATATGTTTTTAATTGCTTAATTTATAATTCCGTTAATACAAAACATATCAAAATATTATCAAAGCAAAATGTAATCTATATTTAAAGTTAGACATTATGCAATCAATACTTATTTATCTACGCTATGTTACACAGAGGATTAACCGTGAATTCAACGATGTGTAACTGATATTCTCATAGCCAATGCTTCTCGTATATAACAAGCAAGGTTACGTAAAATAATCTTATTATCACTATTTAATAATTCTAAAAAATTATACATACTAGGTCTAACGTAGTAAAATTTCTTAATATATTTCTTTCTAAGGTCATTGTAACAAGTGCAAACCAAAACAAAGTGGTACTCATCTTCAATATCATGTAAACTATAGTATATACAAAAACGTTTATTTCTTGGTATCTTATTTGAACCTTAACGACCAGATTGCATAAGAAACGGATGTTCTGATAATCTTATTCTACTAATATAATGCCTAAGGCTGCTAGGCAATAAATCCAGATATTTTTCATACTGGAACACATTTTTTACATCCTTGTATAACAATAAAACATGACTATTCACAATATCAACATGCCAGCTTTGTACAAAGATATCGATATCAATTAAACGCTGTTTGAATTCTAATAAAAACAATTTACTACATAAAACCCCTTGATTATGCCATACATACATAAAACCATACGACGACAATAAATCTTTAACACTTGAAAGCCAATTTTTCTCACCATTTATACAGTCTTCATAAGATATATCATAAATTTCTTTAAGAATGATATTGTCTGTTTGTAATAATTTAAGCCAAAACTTTACTATCCGTAAATATCTTGTAATGTATAAAGGATAACGAGCCAGTTCACCATAAACTGCTGCATTACATGTATTCATTTTAACATTAAGTATTCTTTTACAAAACTTAAGATGAATTCTTTCAATTTCTTTTGACTTACTATTTCCCCAAATTTCCGAGGCATAACAAAGAATGAACACGTGCTTTTATAATTCAATGGTCACCATTTATGAAATGTAGCACACAGAAGTTTAATTGGGTAGTTTTATATACGCCTAGGTTGTTAAATTGCTATGTTATGAAGCACAGAGTTTATAAATATTGATGCACTGCGGGGATGGGGTAGGGTCTGTGGGGGTTTTATGTCGATTTGCAATCAACAAACAATTTAAGTAATAGACCATGCCATTTGATTGTATTGTATGGTTATTTGTTATACGTACTGTGTACGCATGGGCATATTGCCCGAATGTACTTTGAAATAAACTCTTGAAACTCTTGCCACCATTCATTCCAGTTGCCTTACATATTTGATTATTCGTCTTTAAGATGTTGAAATGAAATTTTAAATTTACATATCCACGGCTTCATTAATATAATTTAACTTCCTATAAGACAAGCACTTGCGAATGAAGACAAAATGATATATACATTTTTCATGGGGAAATTTACAGAAACATTGCCGATGGGATTTCTTAGCAGCATCTAAGTTGACTAATACACGGTATTTTCAGAAAATAACAAAAAATGGGTCGTTTAGATGGTAAGGTAGCAGTGTTGACGGCGGCGGCACAGGGTATCGGACGTGCTGTAGCTGAGGTAAGCGTCTCGTTAAGACGAGTATGAGACTACTACTCGTAATAATTTATATTTGTAAAAGGACCATTATGCCCCAGAAATGCTTTTATTTTTATTTCTCAAAAGCTTTTTATTTTCGATGTACCTTTATAGTTTCTAAAAAGTTACTCATTGATCAATTACCTGAACCACCTTTTTCATGTGTCGCTTTTTGGGCAATTTAGTATTTGTATGGAAGTCAAATTACTACTTTGTTTACATTTTGAAACTTTTTTGTGACAAATCACTTCAAATTGAGTGCTACTTTCTTCAGGTAACAAGCATCTAAAACCATTATTTGTATGAAATATATATTATCACTACTGTATGTCTTAAATAAAAAGATTTGTTTATAATAATTAGTATAATGGTAAACATGCAACAGAGCATATTATTTATCTTCAAAGGCATTTAATGTTATTTGAAGTGTTGTGATCATCCAAATTAAAGGGAGTTCAAAAATGTATCTTTCCAATTACAATTTTCAGGCGTTTCTAAAAGAGGGGGCAAAAGTAATAGCAACAGATATTAACATGGAGAAACTAAAAGAATTAGAACAATTAGGTAATCAAGATATGAGCCGCGTCACGACAAAACCAACATAATGGGTTTGTGACCAGCGTGGATCCAGACCAGCCTGGGCATCCGCGCAGTCTGATTAGGATCCATGCTGTTCGCTTACAAACCCTAAAACAAGTAGAGAAACCGATAGCGAACAGCATGGATCCTGATCAGACTGCGCGGATGCGCAGGCTGGTATGGATCCATGCTGGTGGCAAACCCATCATGTTGGTTTTGTCGTGACGCGGCTCATATGTTTCTTTGTCACATTTCTAATAACATACAGGATTTTATACCACCAGTGGTGAAAAATTCAGAAAGCATGTGGAAACAGAGTATTTGCCACTTTTGTCTTATTTTTTCCTTACAAGAAAATATCTAGCTCTGTCTGTGGCTTGCTTGTACCGTTTTAAATCACCAAATCGTGTTCAAGAATACAAAAGTTACAACTTGTAAACTGTCTAACCAAGTTACCCTTCTGACGTTTCTTCAAACTTACATTAAACGTTTGACTCTGTTAAGTAAATAGTGGAGGTTTCAATACTGAATTCATTGGACGGCTCGCAAAGTATTATATAATTCAACTCGTTCAATATATTCAGCACTGAAGCTACACGAATTAAATGTAATACTAAGTACTAGTATTCTATTTATCGTATACCTAGAATAAGTATTGTTGTCAGTAAAAATGTTTGCTTTTTTTTCATTTACGCTTGTTTAGTATACTAGAATTAAGTGAATTCGAGTCGAAGATTTGTCTGCATATAGCATGCGAACAAATGTCTATATACCAATAAAAGGAAACGAATTAGTCATATTAGTAGTTATATATGTATATCATAATGAGTTTCACGTTGTGAGAGAATTGTAGACAATGTGGATATTTTTCTATCTACACTAGGAGCTGAATGTCGTGTGTTAGATGTAATGAACTCGTCGGCTGTTGTATCATTTGCTGCTTCCATACCGAGAATTGACATTCTCTTCAACTGCGCCGGGTAAATAGTTCTAAATATGTTTGGCCCTAAAACTTAAAATAATACTCAGCATAGATAAAACTCAGACTGTTCAATTTATTCACGCTTTATATAATATAATGGAAAATTTGCAAAACATCATTGTCTGAGTCATTTGCGACATTGTTTGTCTGATTGGAAAGAAACAAAAAGCATGCCTCATAGCGCATGTAGGACTGAGTCCAAAATTTCATCTCTCTAAATCACAAAGTAATTATGTAAATGCATATATGAGCCGCGTCACGACAAAAGCAACGTAATCGCTATCAGTTTCTGTACTTGTAATAGGGTTTGTAAGCGAACAGCATGGATCCTGATCAGACTGCGCGGATGCGCAGGCTGGTCTGGATCCATGCTGGTTGCAAACCCATTATGTTGGTTTTGTCATGACGCGGCTCATATATATTTTATGGATATAACATTAAATTTCAGTTTTGTATTTCATGGAACTATACTGGATACTGAAGAGAAAGATTGGGATTTCTCATTTGATCTGAATGTAAAAAGTATGTACAGAATGTGTAAAGCATTTTTACCAAAGGTAACTTCATATATTTTAACATTTGTCCTCAATAAGAAATACAGACAATTATTAAGTTTTCAAGATTATAGTGACGTTGGAATAAAAGTGCGCTTTGCTTCATCTGAATAATTTGTGTATAAGGTGAACTTACAGGCGAAGTATTATGCTTAACATGGCCAAATAGATGTAGTCGAACATAACACGCCCCAAGCATCGGTGATGCTAAGCAAGAAAAAGGATTTATTGTTTTACACAAACAAACTCTAGAATACATTTCATAGCTAAAAGTCAAATGTTTAATTTTAAACATATGACCTTGTCCGTGCCACGTCTGAATATAAAAGAACAACTTTTTGATACCGACTTTACCACTGTTAGCTTTACACCACTATTATATATTTTGTAACTGTAAGATGTTGGATGAATAAATGTCTGACAGTTGATTTTAACGTGCAATTTATTTACCTAATATAGATGATCCAGCAAGATTATGGAAACATAATTAATATGTCGTCTGTTGCATCAAGCATTAAAGGCAAGTTGTCTTTTTAATCCATTCTCGTATTTTACCATAAAATACTTTATGCTAATAAAAAAACGTTTTGGAAAAATAAATATCAGTTCTAGTAAACATGATTAATCTCAAGAAAAGTTTGAAACATTCAACTTTAGAGGTATATTTGTATGTTAAGAATTTTACAGATTATGAGTACATTTTTTTGTATGGAGTTTGTAGTTATGATTGTACAATTATGTGAAACATTACAATAGTCATATTAGATTTTATTGCATACAGTCGAGACTGCCTAAGCAACCCTCTGATTCTTCGACTCTCTGTCTTATCCGACCTTGTTTCAGTCCGACAACATATATCTTTGGTTTTTCTATGTAAATGTATATATAATGTCATTAGATTTAACTATATTTTTGTTCTTGAATACATGAATTAACGTTATGATTTTCGTATATAGGAGCACCTAACCGTTGTGTATATGGGGCAACAAAGGCAGCTGTGATTGGTTTGACAAAAGCTATTGCTGCTGACTTTGTTACAAACAACATCCGTGTCAATTGTATTAACCCAGGTATACAATTATCAGCTATATATTTGGGGGAAAAACATGATTGATTATTTTACTCTTTTTCCACAAGTAGTAATTAATGTTTTCATTACAAAACTTGTGTGCATTAATTGTACATCAAATTAGAACTAAACCTATTTTAGAACATACCTGTAATGTTTACAATAACATTGTTTTTTAGTATAATGATGCTGTGACATGGCAAATTATTAACCCATCGATCTGAAGAAAAAGTCAGACACTTTCTACCATTAGATTTAAATAAAGTACTTTACAAATTTCGGTTAGAAAGTAAATGCAAATAACGAAACCTGTATAAGACTTGTAACAAATTTTGTATCATTTGATAGGCACTGTAGACACGCCATCTTTACGAGGCCGAATTGAAGCTCAGTCAGATCCCGAGCAAGCGTTAAAAGATTTTCATGCTCGTCAAAAACTAGGACGTTTCTGTACAGCAGATGAAGTTGCTAATCTAATCTTGTACCTGGCTTCAGATGAGGTAATTTTTGACCAATTTTATGTCTTCATGGGATGCCATGATTTATTCAAATGGGTATCAACAAAATTGTATACACTTGCAGAGAGATGTATAAAAATGCTTTTGGTCCAATCTTTCCTCAGGCTCAGCCATGAAACTCAATTTATTTAATTAAAGTTAATTAAGTCACTATTTTAATAAGTTTATCTCTTACAATCATTAAGTTAATGTGTACAGGAGAATAAATTGAATTAGTAAGAAGTATTCGTAATTTAATCTGGTTTTTTTTTTCAGTCTGTGTATATCACGGGACAACAGTTTGTCATTGACGGTGGCTGGAGTTTGTAGATGTTCACTGAATTGTGCCGAGATCTCTTATATGTCTTGTTTTCTTTATAATTGTTGAATGTGTACATGTATATAAGCATACAATTACAATAATAAAGACTACGTTATGCAAGCAAACTATGTTCTAGAAAAAAATACGTTTCTCTAAATGTCAATACATGCCAAAATGAAAGGGAACATAAAAAAATATACAAACAAAAAGGATCATGTACTTTACTATGATTTATTAACCAGGTTTTCCGAAGGAAAAAACTGGTTATTAGATTGAGGTATGTCGGCGGGCGGGCGGGCGTAAACAATTTCTTCTGTGCGCAACTCCTCCACAGAAGCTTTGTCATCAAGTGCCCTGGCGCATATTGTCGGGGTTTTGCGATTAGATAATATTTGACCTAATTATGGCCCTTTGTTTTTTTTCCTTATATAAAATATATAGTGAACAATTTCTTCTGTGCGCAACTCCTCCTACATTTCTCAACGGATTTTGACCAAACTTTCTCAGAAGCTTTGTCATCAAGTGCCCTGACACATATTGCCAGGGTTTTGCAATTGGTATATATTTGACCTAATTATGGCCCTTTGTTTTTTTTCCTTATATAGAATATATAGTTTCTGTGCGCAACTCCTCCTACATTTCTCAACGGATTTTGACCAAACTTTCACAGAAGCTTTGTCATCAAGTGCCCTGGCGCATATTGTCGGGGTTTTGCGATTAGATAATATTTGACCTAATTATGGCCCTTTGTTTTTTTTCCTTATATAAAATATATAGTGAACAATTTCTTCTGTGCGCAACTCCTCCTACATTTCTCAACGGATTTTGACCAAACTTTCTCAGAAGCTTTGTTATCAAGTGCCTGGCACATATTGCCAGGGTTTTGCAATTGGTATATATTTGACCTAATTATGGCCCTTTGTATATTTTTTCCTTATACAGAATATATAGAGAACAATTTCTTCTGTGCTCAACTCCTCCTACATTTCTCAACGGATTTTGACCAACTTTCTTATAAGCTTTGTTTTCAAATGCCTGGCACATATTGTCGGGGTTTTGTGATTGGATAATATTTGACCGAATTATGGCCCTTTGTATATTTTTTCCTTATACAGAATATATAGAGAACAATTTCTTCTGTGCTCAACTCCTCCTACATTTCTCAACGGATTTTGACCAAACTTTCTTAGAAGCTTTGTTTTCAAGTGCCTGGCACATATTGTCGGGGTTTTGTGATTGGATAATATTTGACCGAATTATGGCCCTTTGTATATTTTTTCCTTATACAGAATATATAGTGAACAATTTCTACAGTGCGCAACTTCTCCTACATTTCTCAATGGATTTTGACCAAACTTTCACAGAAGCTTTGTCATCAAGTGCCCTGGCGCTCACTAAATTCCCATGTTTCTTCCAAGACATCATTCAAGTATTTTTTTAAAATTGTGAACATACTTTTCTTGATATCGCACAAAACACCACACGCCAATATTGTTGACAAAAGAAAATGACAAGAGACGCAAAAATGCAAAAATTAAGCAAAAATAAAGTACTGTTTACCTTTCTAAAACATTTGGGGAAAAAAGGCGAATAGACAACATAAAATTTCTCAATCATTTTTGTTTAAGGAATATTAAAAAAGCCATAATTCCTCCTAAAAGTTCAATTAAAAACAAATGCCCCTTCATGACAAAGCTTCTGTGAAATATTTTGCTGAAAACCTGGTTGCATCGCATTGCGATGTTCCTTGTTTTATTTATTTGTGTTAAATGATCATTACCCAATACAAATATACAGACGCATACATTCAAACATATCACTGGAATGACAATACAAGTGTGATAGCTTTTAATGGTAAAAAAAACAAATTTAGTTAAAGATATTTTGATAGCTTTTAATGTTAAAAATACCAAATTTTGTTAAAGATATATAATTTCTTGTTTTAGTCATGGACAGTCAGTTATAAATAACAACAATAAGTTTTCTGTTCTCAAAGAATGCTGGTTGGTATAGACAAAAGACAAAGGAAAAGAAATTAATCGGCATTGTATACTTTTGCTAAACAAATTATGGCTAAATGGTACAATGACATATAAATTAGAAAATAAAAGCGTTATATAGGTTATACATCGGTTTATATTTATATGGGATCAGCAATAAATTGTATGGATTAATAGTATATATGACCGATTTGCTACGGATTTAATGTCTTATTTAAATCTCCGTATATTTGCATTAAGGACATTTTTGCTTTCTTTTATCTCAAATCAGTACAGCATGGTCACAAACTACATGTATTCTTAAAAGTACACCAACAAGTTCAAACTAATTATTACTTATATAATGACATCTCTTGCGCTAATGGACAGGACAGTAAGTATTCAGAATATTTGTCATTAAAATCTGTACATGACATATCACCGCACAAGTTATCACCAGGGCGGGAAAATAAATTCTAAAATACCGTGGTCACTATGGTCAACGTGGTCAAATCTACATCTTGCACTTTAACCTTAGTATTGCATATTATATTTACAGTACCACAGATGTTTAAGGATATTTTTGCACTGCCAACCAAACACATGAACACATTTCGTGAGGTATTTCGTTTCTTAAGATCGTTTAGAAAAATATGTGCGTTTCTTGCAATAGGTCCAATATAACAGTTTTCGAATGACCACAATATTATGTTAATATCTCACTTCATTGTCTGGTAACCAAATTATTCCGAATGTATACACTAAGTAATTTGTAAGACTTTTAAGTACAGAGCCTGTGAAACACGAATGTAACAGTACTTTAAACATCTTATGCGACGTGATACTGTCAACGTTTCAGCAACCTGATACTTTTTTATATCTGATAATCATCCTCTTTGTATATAAAAAGGATTCATTAAAACCTTGTTTTGATACTTTACTATTCAAATAATTATGATTCGAGTGTTACTTTTGTTGATTTTCACCGCCGCCGGGGTTTGGAGTTTAACACCCGCAGAACTACAACAGTGCACGGCAAACCTAGCGTGTGCTGTCGACTACAAAGATATGTACCAGACTAAGTTGGACAATGCCACGCACGTTATGCAACTTGAACTTGAAATATTAAAACACCAAACGGACAGCCAAGTTCTACCGCTGCAGACTCAAGTGAACGCGCTGGAATCTAAACACACTCAACAGACGACAGTTACGAACGCTGCACTCGGAAAATTACAAAATGACGTCAGTTATGATAGGTACGTTCTATTTTTAGGTTCATTTTATCGTTTTGAATGAATGTTCTGAAATATAGGCATGAAAAACGAATGGGCTTTAGTTGGTTATGTTTTACACGTTTGTCGTAATTCTAAAAGAATGGCCACTTTCATAAGAAACTAACATTCAAAATGTTATTACCTATACAGTAGAGATATCATATCTAAAATGCCCGTCACATCTATCTGAGATTGGAGCAAATGGCAGAATGTCAAAAATAGTTATAAGAATTTTGTTTAATCTATCAAAGACCTTAATCCGTGGATCTATATATAAAGTTTTAAAATGTCTGAAACCTATCTGGGTTTTTTTTTTTTCAGGCAGTATTTAGCAAATATGTCCCAAGTTCTTCATAAATTGAACGATGATATTCATAAACAGAACATGTTACAGTCCGAGGACGTTCACAAATTAGTTTTAGACCTCACCACGGCCAGAAATGATATCGCTAATCTTCAGGCCACAGTTAAAGCATTACTTGGACAGAATATGACGGCAATGCAAATTGTCGGCTCAATTGGAAGCACATCATGCGCAGGTAAATCAATGGAATAGCCAAGTCAGATGATCTGATTTTCTAAGGTTTTACTTCACTTTATGGGCATTTTTTCTTATGGGAACTCCACTGAGGTCCCAAAGCCTAAGAAGTTTAATTTCTTACATAGATCAGCTGAGGTACTTAAAACAGAAAGATATGCAAAGGAAATCAGAAAAATGTTCTAAAATAAATTTGAAAATCGTATTTTGGTTCCATCCTTGTCCCGTTTTGAGTAAAAAGCGTTGCAATGCTTTTTAATTTTGATCGTTTTGAAATTTTGCACTCAAGATGTTTGCCTAGGCCTACATCAAACAAAACATTTATCTTGAAAAATAATTTTCAGTCCTGCCTAGTAAAAATACCTCGGTGAAGTCCCTTTAATGTACAAAATATCATTATTTTAACACTGTTTAAGTGGTTCACAAACAACATCCGTTCAATTTCTTTAGCTTACATCAAGTCAATATTAAAGTCCAAAAACGTATTCACTCTGTTTTGAGTAACTTTTATCTTTATTTCAAACTTGTTGCAGGATATTAGTGTGACAAAAGAGCCTGTGGTCATTTTCTTTAAAGCTCATGATCAACTATTAAAACCTACTCCCCTCATGAACATGGTACCTTATGAACATCGGGTTCTTGATTTCGAGAAATAAACTTAATTCATTATTTTGACATGAGCTTCCGGTTCCTAACGCTAATTCAAGAATACCGTGTGGGAAATAAAGAAGCCTATGTAAAGAGTCTGGTTTTTACTGTTTATATGGTCTGTCTGATTGTAATTACCTTATCTACAAATGGTAAAGAAGCGACAGTAAGTTCATTTGTACTTTAACTTCTCATTGCAGATAAAGATACAGAAATCATTCAACTGAAAAACAACCTCACTTACTACATGAATGCGTTCAACTCAGCAGAAAAGGCATTGGAAAATGTTCGAACCCTAGAATCATTTCTACAAACACAGGTTAGTATTAAAGTTTAATAATTAAACGGATAAATCTAAGCATTCGGTATATGTTCTTAGTTGAAATATTTTTATATATCTGTTGGTTTCCGAGATTTTATTTTTATTGTCCTTTTAAATCGATTTTAAGCCGAAAAAAAAATAATTTAGTGAGTTTCTTAATTATAATATTGTTGTTAAATTGCTTCCGACGGATCGCCCTCTGTTAACCTCTGACTCTTTTAGTTATAATATTATAGAGAAATTTGTCGCAGAGAACTTCTTGTCTGCTTTACATTTTGTGATAGAAAATATTGGCCCACCGAGGCACTGACATTATACACGTTTTCATGGTGCCATTTTCAAAATTATTTTTATGACCGGGTCTAGGCTAGGACCCGAGACCTCTCGCATACAAGACAGACGACCAACCCATGTGTTAATAGAACTATTGACTCCACTGGAGATTTTATCTGTCAACAAATATTAAATGCATATATGTGACAATAATGTTACAGGTAGTTCAACTAAAGGCAAATCTGACCCGAACTGAATCAATCAACCACATCAAAGACAATCTAATCGTGAGCCTTCAAAATCAGCTACAAGCGGCCAAACTAAATGTCCCCACAGTACCAACACCAACAACGTGAGTTATATTACTTTGATACTTATAATTCAATGTTCTGCGAGGTTTTGCAACTTGTGCTGTTATAAGGTGATTTTCCGTTCCTGAACCTTGGTTATCACATGTCTTAGCACGACAAAAATATAACAATTTACTATGAACTATCAATGAATAAAAAATAGCATCTTTGATATATAATTCAATACTTGCATCGTCTTTGGTGATCGACTTTAATTTTCAGTGTGGCATTTTTATTATTATATAATGTATGTTGTTTTATTCAAAGGGCAAGCTTCATAAAATCATTCTTGATTTAATTTTCTGGAAAAAGCAAAGTTGGCGATATCAGAATGTCAAATTCTGAAGCTTTTTATCAATATCACTTTCTTATTGGTATCTTATACAAAGTTTTCCCTTATGTTTTAGATGTTCGGATGCCCTTGGAATGAAAAGTGGTACAATATCCGACTCTTCAATCACTGCTAGCGATAGTCAACCTGGGTACGGGCCAGAGCATGCTCGACTAGACAACAGTCAAGGCTGGTACACGCCCGAGAGGTCCAGCAGTCAGGACTTCCTACAGATTGATACTGGATCTTTACATTACATCACTAAAGTTGCAACGCAGGTATGTCAAAATGTGTTATAAATGATAACGTCTACACACTTCAAGGTTTAGTTTAAAGTAACAGTCGCCCTAACAGCAAAGCTTTTCCTCTGATATTTACATTAAACAGGTTTTCCAAGAACTACTAGTGTTTCAATTAAAAGTTGACCTTTTTGCCCATACTCATTTGTTGTCCTGATTATGAGAATACCATGATATGGACTGTAACCATATACCTATTTTAACCTAATTAGAGATACATGTACGTATTTTTCAGGGGGCACCTTGTTGTGATGTCATGGTAACCAACTACACGTTACAATATTCTGCTGACGGTAGTAACTGGAAGGAGTATAGGAAAGACTGTACTTTACAGGTGAATACATTCAAAACTTCCTTCAATTATTTACAATATACAACACAATCAGTAATACAGTACATCTTTACACAGAACTTAGATTTATAAAAGATACAATGCAGTTCTGTTACATATTTTTTCTTCAAAAAATTATTACGTTCTCTGGATAAAGATTTCTATTTTTGAATGTTTTCAAATACAATCTAACTTAAGCCAACGGTCACTTCCGAGTATATGTATTTATAACCATAATTTACTATCTGGTTGGATTCTCAGATAATTTGTCAAAGAACAGGTGCATATTTTACTAATAACAAATCCTGGTAACATTACTTTGATTCCCAGCTGTACCAACCAAAATAACCAAGTCTTACCTGTTGGAATAAAAGTTCCAATAAAATTGATGTAATAATTTTCTAAACTGATTCTTCTGGAATGAATAATAAAACAAAATCCTGCATCTTGCATGGACCACTATATCTCAGTACTCTTCTGGAAGCCAATTAATATGTAACAACGGTTCTGAGCATAATTAATATGCACTGTCACTCATATAAAATTTGTATTTCAGCATCTAACAGGTAACACGGACACTGTTACAGTGGTAGAACAGAATCTAGCAGATCCTATCCTGGCAAGATTTGTACGATTTAACGTAAAAGACTTCAAGAAAAACGGATCCTCCAATTACGTTGGTATGAGGGTGGAATTATATGGTTGTAAGAAGAACTAGGGAAAAAATAACAACAAACATTCGTTAAATATAAAAATTGCATATTTGTGCCTTTTTAATATATCAAAATAAAGAGGTTTGAACAGAGAAACTTGGAAGCAATGTGTATTGGTAAAACATACAGCAACAAACAAAACAAGCTAGTAAAATACTAGTAAGTTCAGTATTCCTCATACAATAAATAATGTTATACTAGTACTTGAAAACTTTGTGAGAACAATAATTAGTAATAGAAATATAAAATCAACTTAAAACAAAGTTTGATTTCTTGATCATCATATAATAACAAGAAACATGGCAATGCCATGAAACCAGGTTTTCAATTATCACCATTGTAGATAAATATGTTGTAGTTGAAATACAAATACAGTTGACTCTCAATAAGTCAAAATCGCTTTACTCAAAATTCCGCGTAAGTCGAAGAATTTCTAAAGTCCCGTCAAATTTCCTTCTTTATTTTTGTATTTTAACTCCGCTTAGGTCAAATTTTGACTTACCGAGACTCCTGTTTAGTCGAAAAGAAAATTTGGTCCCGTCAATTAAAGTCCAACATATTTTCATCTCAATTAGTCGAAGTGTGAAATCAGCCGACTGATCAAAGGTCGGCAACATCATGGTGTGATGTTGTCACTCGTGATTTACACGTTTCATAGTAATTATTTTTTAATTGCCGGTCATCATATGTATTATTAACACGTCGTATAAGTGGCTTTAATCCGTTTCAGCACTTAATTGGTTTTAACAGTTAGATAACTAAATTAAAATTTGATTACATTTCTTTAAGAAAGTTGACTCGTGCCAGTCTGACGGGTGTTAGTCAAAAAAAGCCTATGTATTGATGTGTGTTACCAACGTAAATGACATTTGTATAATTAATGTTAAGTCATTTTGCATACATTTATTTGTACTCCCGGTTCACGATAGTTGCTACTTTCGTTTTCGTCCGATGATCAATTAAATCAAATATAATTGTGTGTATATGTTTCACTATTAATATACATGTATTAAATTTTGAATGATATATTTTTTTTCATTTATAATTTGTAGTTGTAAGTGATTTACCGTCATTTCAACGGTTAAATATTGCAGCATTGCCGCTAACAACAATAACAAACCTACTTCTTTGCACATTTAATCAGGCACATGTATATACATGTACGAATGTCAACGTAATGGCGGCAGTTCCACGTTACTCGAATTCCGTTTCTCTCGAAGTAAAATGCCCAGTCCCTTGGATTTCGAGTTACCGAGAGTCAACTGTACAAGCAACAAACAATGTAACTATGTGCAATGTAAATCATGAATAATGTTGGAGGAATTGCACACAGAAGAAGTGTTCACTATATATTCTGTATAAGGGAAAAAAACAAAGGGCCATAATTAGGTCAAAAATTATCCAATCACTAAAACCCCGACACTATGCGCCAGGGCACTTGATGACAAAGCTTCTGTGAAAGTTAGAACAAAATCCGTTGAGAAATGTATGAGTTGAGCACAGAAGAAATTGTTCATTATATAATCTGTATAAGGAAAAAAAACAAAGGGCTATAATTAGGTCAAATATTATCCAATCACAAAACCCCGACAAAATGCGCAATGGGCACTTGATAACAAAGCTTCTGTGAAAGTTTGGTCAAAATACATTGAGAAATGTAGAAGGAGTTGCGCACAGAAAAATTGTTCACTATATATTCTATATAAGGAAGAAAAAACAAAGGGCCATAATTAGGTCAAATATTATCCAATCACAAAACCCCGACACTATGCGCCCGGGCACTTGATGACAAAGCTTCTGTGAAAGTTTGGTAAAAATTTGTGAGAAATGTAGGAGTTGAGCACAGAAGAAATTGTTCATTATATATTCTGTATAAGGAAATAAAACAAAGGGCTATAATTAGGTCAAATATTATCCAATCACAAAACCTCGACAATATTTGCAATGGGCACTTGATAACAAAGCTTCTGTGAAAGTTTGGTCAAAATACATTGAGAAATGTAGGAGGAGTTGCCCACAGAAGAATTGTTCACTATATATTCTATATAAGGAAAAAAAAACAAAAAGTCATAATTAGGTCAAATATTATTCAATCACAAAACACTGACAATATGTGCAAGGGCACTTAATTACAAAGCTTCTGTGAAAGTTTGGTCAAAATCCGTTGAGAAATGTAGGAGGAGTTGCGCACAGAAGAAATTGTTCACTATATATTCTGTATAAAGAAAAAAAACAAAGGGCCATAATTAGGTCAAATATTATCCAATCACAAAACCCCGACAATATGCGCCAGGGCACTTGATGACAAAGGTTTTGTGAAAGTTTGGTCAAAATCTATTGAGAAATGTAGGAGTTGCGCACAGAAGAAATTGTTTATGCACGCCCGCCCGCCGACATACCTCAATCTAATAACCAGTTTTTTCCTTCGGAAAACCTGGTTAAAAATGCAGCAAATGCAACTTTCAAATTTCTGTAAAATCAAAAATTACTCTAATAATCTGATATCAAGGTTTTTTGTTGTTGTTTTTTTTTCTAATAATCAAAAGAACACAACCTTGGTAAACAAGTAACTTAATTAATGTTGTATCAAGCACTACTTTAACCCTCGGCCTGTTGAATTTCTTAAATTTGATATGTCCATATTGCATTTTTAACTTCTCCATTTCAATTTTTGGTATATCAAGAAGTTAGTCAGCAAACAGTACATTTATCAACAGTAAAGTGGTCAGACTTCACGGATGTATAGGCTGATCTGACTCTATATATTGGTTGCAAAGGTTATTCACTTTTGGTTCCAGCAGGGTTAAAGGAACTCCACTGAGGTTTATAAGCCTTAAAACATAAAATTTTGATTTTTCACATAGATAAACATGGGCACTTAAAACAGAAATATAAATGAAATATAACCAAGAAATATACTAGAAATACATTGAAAATCATATGTTTGTGCTATTCTCAGTCCGATTTGAGTGAAAAGCGTTTAAACGCTTTTCAATTTTTGGTCATTTTTCCCTATAATAATAATTATTCTGGAAAAACGGAGCGAGCTAATGATCTGAAATTTTGCACATAAGTTATTAGTATAGATTTACATCAAATGGAGTAATAATCTCAAAAAATTATTTCCAGTCCCGTCATGTCAAAAAACCTCAGTGGAGTCCCTTTAAAGATTGTTTGACAAATAAACTACAAACTGTAGAACTCCCCAGTGTTAACCATTAATATTTTTTTACCAAATGATTAAAGTGAACACAAATATTAACTCATAACTTCCAAGTTTTTTACAGGTAATACAACATTTATCTTTTCTAACACATGGTGCTTGCATGAAATACATTGAAGAATTAGATTAGATTTACTCCCTCTCAGGTGATTGTACATTATAAGGATCTGACACCAGCTGCCGGCCAGACTTATCTAGCTCAAGGGTAACTGTTTAGGGCAGTAACTAGGCCGTGCTGCGTTTCTGCTTAACAGTAATCCAAGAGCTAGATATTCCAGTCTGTAACAACAGCTGGTATTTGATTATTTTTCTTGCATATAATATATTAATTCTAATTTGGAAAGAAATTACGAAAACTAATATTTTAAATTAGCACTTTTTCTTATAGAAGCATATGAATTTACAACAAGGGTGCTGGAATGTCATTGAAAGCACAAGATTTGAGCCGCGTCATGACAAAACCAACATAGTGCGTTTGCGACCAGCATGAATCTAGACCAGCCTGCGCATTCGCGCAGTCTGATCAGAATCCATGCTGTTCGCTTACCAACCCTTTTACAAGTAGATAAACTGATAGCAAACAGCATGGATCCTGATAAGACTTCACGAATGCGCAGTCTGGTCTGGATCCATGCTGGTCGTAAACGCACTATGTTGGTTTTGTCGTGACACGGCTCATTTGTCTTACACAGGGGTTTTTTCTGCAGTGATGTAAACAGAAGATAATCCTGTCTGATATGCAAGAAAACACAACTATATATAGACTGTTATAAGTCCCCAGCACTTGCCAGAAATACAACCCCTACCTTCAATGTCATGGCAAGGTATATACCTAAAATTACATTGATCACAATTTGGCATTTTGAGCTTTTCGATTTCTGATGATGACAAAAATAAAATAAAAGAATATACAAACAATCAGCAGGGGAAAATACCAGAATAATATTAGCACAATACAGTTTTCTTGTCACATCTACTAGTAATACTGTACTGTTAATACTTCCAATACTTCATTCAACAGTTATTAAAATGTCTTAATAAATTATCATTACCCTTTATTTCAATCTTTTGAATCAATACTTTCATTTAATTCCAGTTAATTGCCTTCACAAAATAACTTTTATGTATCAAATTGTCAATATTTCTTCCAAAAATCACCTAAAATATCTTGTTCTTTCACATATTTTGATCAAATGATATACATAGTTTAATAGTAATTTTATATAATTTTTTTCTAAAATGAATTTGTGACTTAATGGCACATAAATGAACTATTCATAACCGTTGAACATTTGGAATAAGTCTCAGTTACTTCAAATGATTGCCATATTTGATTATATACTAGTATTGCATCAAATTCCATCTTTTGTGTAGAACATCTTCTGCACTTAATTTGTCTAACAATAGCGAGCATCATTTCACACACAAAAATCCTCGCACATTGATCAAAAAGCTGTTAAAGTTCTCCATGAACATCAATTTATTATGTCTACTGACTGTCAATGACAGGGAAGGCGGAGTTAAGTTATTGAACGCCTCCAGGAGGCGGGATTTGTATGCCTGATCTATATGAGAATCGAGAATTTCGTGCACTAGTTGTTGGTATTGTTCAGTATGACAACAGATGAGGCAGAATAAGGCGGAGCTTGCTGTATCCAGTAGATCCATGTTGAAATTCTCCAACAACAACATTCGGAATACAATCTGAAACCACACACATATCATCATGCTTTACTTATAATGTGAAAACAGTCAACAAAATTCTATAGTTGTTTTGATCATGAAGTAATGCTCATCTGTTAAGTGCTACCAATTTTGACAAAAATTCTAAAATTGAAAAGGGGCATAACACCAAAAAATATAGCTTTCAGAATTATGCCCCTTGTCTAACAAGAGACCTTGCCATGATAAACAAGTATTCCAAGTTTCATGTTGATAACTTTCAAAATGTTTGAATATCTAGCTACATTGGTTAACACAAATTTTTTTTAGTTTGATTGTGTATAGACACACTTTCTAATCCGTTCCTGGAACCAACCAGTACTAAACAACAAGTGTAAAGTTTCTTGCGCAAGGAAAAAACGGCTTGCCCCTAATGGGGTTGTAAACCTGCACAGCTAACAATCCATAGATTACTAGTCTGACGCGATAAATACAACTCAATTTAATTTTACTTTGCATCTAATCTTAAAAAGTCTCCTGTTAATTTCAAACTAAAATATCTGTCAATTCTTACCTTGAGGAAATGTTTTAGAGTATTGTGTATTAAGGTACCAGCTAGATTGTTCTGGAAAACATGTGTCCCTAGTGAGTATATACAATCTAAACACAGCTTGCTTATATCTGGTCCATATCTATATCTTATGTCAAGGATAACATATCAAACACAAGAAATTACAGATAATTCTATACAGAAAGTAAAAATTACTGTCAGTTTCAGAGTCAGGCCAGCCTGCACATCTATTCAGTCTTTTCAAGCTTTATAATGCTGGTAGCTCAATTTTGTTACTTTCATTTTGAAATCACTTTATATTCATACTCGAGTTATCACTAAAGGTATTCATGGGGTCTTCATATAAGCTTGCTATAAACTAAGTTTGATTACAATACCTCATTCCAAACTTTAGTTATCGTCCGAAAACCATGATGCAGACCGCCCGACGGGAGGACTGATGAGCTTACTCTTATATACCCCCCTACACTTTGTTTGTGGGGATTTAATGAGCTATACCACACTCAAAGCAGGGAACATCCATTACACAAATTCAGCAATCATATCTCAAAATTATAATGGGTATGCAGAAAATAAAAAGAATTTTATTATATAAACTTTATATTTGATTTCCGGGACAGTCCCGGACATCCAAAGGATACGAGACTAGACCAAGCTCCAACGAGACCATCAGTGTCTTAAACAGCTCATCAGGTAATGTGGTGAATCTATCCGGATGTATTTCTGTTAAAAACGTTATCAGTTTGAAATACTGTGAGCACAAATTGGGGAACTGTAACAATAACAAACATTCATATATTAATATTTAGAATCTGGAAAAAATAAATAGTATCCTAGAATGAAAGAAAAAGCAAAATTTATCATTATGAATAGAAAATCTGTACAGCAGGTGACATAAGTTTTTTTCTTATCTTTAATACGTACCCTGGCATAGGGCATGCTCTGTATGGGATACAGTTGATAAACATAGAATGATGTTTTTTCAAAGTTAAATAAATGGAAGAGTTTAAACACTTGTGTAGAGTTACAGCCATCACAATTCCAAACAAGTATACATGTTCAACTAACCAAACCTATAATACTCTAACTTAAACTTGAATATAATTTTTAATGAATGATTTAATCATATATAAATTATCTTAATCAACAAAATCAATAATTAGAAACCCAGCTCATTTATCATATATAAAAAGCAAAAAAAAAAGTATCTTACATAACAAACATGACACAATTTCGTCATTTAACCCTTAACCTGCTGAATTTCTTAAATGGACTAGTCCAGCTTCCATTTTTGGAACTGTCTATTATCAATTTAGGGGATTTTCAAGATGAAAATCTAAAGTTAGTAAGCCAACAACATAGAGAGCCTTGTCAGCCTGGCTCTTTATTGTAAACTGGCTAATCACTATCAGTTCCAGCGGGGTAAAAGTAAATGCCAAATATGTAAAATGATTAAGTTTTGATTAAGACATTTTTTTAAAAATATTTACCCTAAGTAAGTCCTCTGTCATGAGGGGTATAATGGTGTTAAGACCAAACAGTACAACATTTACAGCTGTCACAGAACTGTCCTCACTTGTGCTATTCTCATCTGAAATAATAAATCAGTATCTACAATAAATACAATACTAGTAAAATAATAAATAAACATCAAACTTTTAATGACCAATTAAACAATATCACTAACTAATAGCCATCAGAAATTAAAGTAATGACAATTCACATTGACAAGAATGTCATTAACACAGATGGTCACCACTTTGATATGACAGCTTTACTGTTTTCAACACTAAAATACTGAAATCAAGCAGCAAACAATGTAGTCTTATACAGGATGGATCTGTCTTTATTGCCACTTGGAGTGAATAATAACAAAATAACAAAACTTGATAAATATTAGGAGCCATTTATAGAAAAAAACAAGGCAAATACTACTTTTTAAACAGAGATTTTTCGCAACACATACCCATGTTTTTGGAAAAAAAATCATATTACATCTAATGGCATTTTGTGAAATTCTACTCATATAAAAAACATTCAACATACAAAATAATAAATCTATTTTACCTGGCTCTCCAAAATCAACAAAGTCTTTAGAGAGAAGATTTGTGAGTAGTTCCATAACAAGTAGAATATCACTATATCTTTCTTCCTCTTCCTCACTAGCGTCCTTTACACGCTTACCTTTAACACATTAATGAATATATATATCAATTCTGACTGCATTTTCATATATTATTACTTGATGATATATGAGCCGCGTCATGACAAAACCAACGTAATGCGTTTGCGACCAGCATGGATCTAGACCAGCCTGCGCATCCGCGCAGTCTTATCAGGATCCATGCTGTTCGCTAACAGTTCCTCTACTTGTAAAAGAGTTGGTAAGCGAACAGCATGGATCCTGATCAGACTGCGTGGATGCGCAGGCTGGTCTGGATCCTTGCTGGTTGCAAACGCATTACGTTGGTTTTGTCATGACGTGGCTCATATGTATCATGATCTATAAATAGCTTTGAAATGTTATCACACATCACATCATATTTACGAGCTTTAAAAGTCCATATCCAAATAATAAATCGCATCATAATAAAAAGGCTGTAGGTTTTAACAATTATGATAAGAAAGCATCTACATGTCAAAATTGTGATTTCTTAGACAGTGACAGAATAATCTATAAATAAATACACTTAACACTATTATATGCAAAGTATTATAAATTTCAAAATAACCCAGATAAGTAGAATCCTTAGCACACTTTATATTCTTTGTTGTTTTTTATTTGTCTTTTTTTTTGGGGGGGGGGGAGAGGGGTGTAGATAAATGCTAATCTTCAACACAATATAACATTTGACAGTAAATAGACCGCTTCTCAGCAGGGCGTTGCCAATTTCTTTAAGAAAATCATTTTATTTCTTTTACAATTCCCCAGATGCATTATGTTGTGATCACGGAACTAGTACATGTAAGAGATTAAGACGCACAATGCAAACAACAATTAACTCTGCCATAGCATGATTTGTAACATATTGATAGTGCATCCTTGACAGAGTAAAAATCCTGGAGAGTTACACCAGTACTATCTTGTTGTTGTTTTTTAAAGCAGTTGGTACTTACCTTTGTTATGTTTAGAGTACATCTGTATTGCAGCCAAACAGACTTCATACAAGGTATTTGATCTAGTCTGTAATAAAACAACAGTACATACTTTATTTTTAATTATCATGAGATATATACTGGTAAAAGGTACATTATGTTGCGAAAAAAAGAACCCACACAGGATATGTATAACTGGTATATAATTGAAAAGCACGAAAATAAAGAATGTCTAATGAAGTAAATTAGCCAAACAAGAGCTGTCGGTAGGTCAGCAACGCTCGACTATTCTAAGTGCTTGATTGTAAAAAAAATGCTTGATACAGTTACCTCCTCCTGTTTACAGGTTGGGGTTATGATGGTGAACAAGTGTGCAAAGTTTCAAAAGCATATGTCAATGGACTTTGAAAATATTTGAACCATAACAAAAACTTTAATATAAATTCTAAGTCGAAAAAGGGGCATAATTCTGTCAAAATGCTTGATACAGTTACCTCCTCCTGTTTACAGGTTGGGGTAATGATGGTGAACAAGGGTGCAAAGTTTCAAAAGCATATGTCAATGGACTTTGAAAATATTTGAACTATTACAAAAACTTTAACATAAATTCTAAGTCGAAAAAGGGGCATAATTCTGTCAAAATGCTTGATACAGTTACCTCCTCCTGTTTACAGGTTGGGGTTATGATGGTGAACAAGTGTGCAAAGTTTCAAAAGCATATGTCAATGGACTTTGAAAATATTTGAACTATTACAAAACCTTTAACGTAAATTCTAAGTCGAAAAAGGGGCATAATTCTGTCAAAATGCTTGATACAGTTACCTCCTCCTGTTTACAGGTTGGGGTAATGATGGTGAACAAGTGTGCAAAGTTTCAAAGCCATATGTCAATGGACTTTGAAAATATTTAAACTATTACAAAAACTTTAACATAAGTGGTTACGCCGACGCGGAAGCGGACGCCGACGCTCGGGTGACTGCAATAGCTCTACTTATTCTTATCGAATAGTCGAGCTAAAAAGCATTGCATATATCATGTAATAATGCACTGGACATGTATGTTTAATAAGGGAATAGTGTGTAGTGTGTTAGAATCTTCACTAACACAATGAAATTATCTACCGGTATTTCCTACAAGTAATGACGACAGATACTGCCAGCCAATGGTCCAATGTACAAAATGTATAACATCCAATAACACAAAGATTACAAAGTTCCAATTTCTCTCCAAGATTGTTTTATATAAGGCTTTGAGAAGGTAATAAATGCAGTTTTGAAGTGATTGAGTAACCTTAGGAACTTACGGTATTAAGAAAACAGAGTTGTTTTTGTACAACTTCTACCAGTAACTCTATAATGAGTGGTACAACATCTTCATTGTCATGGTACAAATCTGTTATAACAAAAACAAACACTCATATATACATCATTCATTTACAAAATGTCTGACTTTTCATAAATTTAACAGTTTTTGTGCTAGAAGAAATAAGAAAAGACTTGAGCCACCAAAAAAACAAAGTAATGATCAATGCTAGCGTTTATTGTAAATTTTTGCAGTATAATATGCACATTTCCAGCTCCACAGAATCAAACTTTAGAAAAATATGTTAAAAGTTACAATAAATTAAATTTCAAAGACTTCATTTCTTTAAGTGCTTAAAAACGATATTTTAAAGTCTTTAATTTTTTAAGCTCTTTAAGAAATTGGAATTTCACTGAAACAAACATAATATTGGTGTTATTATAATCTAAGATCATTATGTAAAATACATGCAAAGTATGCTGTATCAATATTTCCATTAGACAAATAAATTACCTAGCAAGGTGACACACTGCTGTAGTAATGGTAGAAGATAATCATATATTTTATCTATATTGTTGACCCTTGACCCTTTAGCTACCCCACACAAACTCTCCAGGAGTTTAATGATCTCTTCCTTCGTGTCTGCTGCCTGACATCTCTTAGCAAAACCGTCTGCTGTTACCATGTGAACAAACTTATCCTGAAGTGTCTTTAACACCTGAGCAAGGTAAATATAGAAACAAATATTATTCATTATCACTAAGTGAAAGGTACTTCAAGTGAGCATAAATTTTCCTGAAGAATTAAGTTTTGACATATTACTTAGCCATCAGTTAAGTTTTTTTCATTGGGTTTTATACACTGAAAAGTAAGCCGTATTGTCTACTTTAATTTCAATGGAGAAACCCAGTGCCCTCAAAGCATTATTTGAAATTACAGTGTACAAACATTTATGTTCATTAAGCAGCTGGTACTTCCTAACACATAAAGAAATAAGTATTTCCATTCGAAAACCCCATCTCAGTTAAATTTTCTTATTGTTATTGCCCAAATTTTACGCCTTTTTCCTTTAATTCAGTCAGATCCAATTGTTCCAAACATTTCTTTAAACAGTATGTAACATCTTATTCCCCATAAATACCAAACATTACCTTAACACAAAATTATAGAAGTCATATCTTCCCATTCAAACTATATGTGTCAAGTTTAATTATTGATCCAGGAAAAAACACCTCCATCCTCACTACAACCCCATGGAACTTAGATATCACTAGAATTAGTATTCTTGGTGAAAAAAATATTTTCCCTTTATTTGCTAAATGTTATAGTATTATATGTAGTAATGTGATACCAGTTGCCAGTATTCTGCACTCATCTGGTCATTCACACCAGTTCCAGCTAGAACAAAAGCCTTGTATAACAGTCTGAGAGCACTGGCTGGTAGATTACAGAATGGTAATTGATTGTGGGCAAGATGTCGCACCATTGTCCACAGACCTTCACTCTTTGTGATGTATTGTGCTCTAAAATAGACATCAGGTCATTTTATAAAAAGAACTACCACATATATTATACTCTTAATATGCATACTGAATAATTTCCATACATAATAAAGATTTCAACCACATGATTGTGACATATTGACTTCTTTACGTACTCTGTGTAAGGTAAATATTTTCCCTATCTTTATACCAATGACTAGCCTGACACTTTTTCATTCAGTGAAATCAAGTGCATGCCTTATTATTCTATTCAATGCAAGTCAAAAATTCTAAAATATTAAATGTATTTCAATCAGTTTTTATGTAAATCAATGTTCATTTCTTTTTATTCTTTAAAGCCAAAAGGATTACACAATGCTTAAGAAATCAGAACACTGACCTAGTTTTATTGTCCATCAACATGACTAGGAACTGTAGAATATCCATCATGGTTTTCTCCTCGGCATTCCAGGCACTCAGGGACATCATTACCTTGTCCAGCAAGAATGATATTGTCCACTGGGCACCCTCTGTATCACGCCCAAAACCTGCCCATAATGCCTTGCTCACCTACATAAATAACAAAGCTTTCAAAGTCAAATATATCACTTATTCTATGAAATGGGTTAAAACTTTCAGGGATTATTGATGTTACATAAATTTATAAATATCAAGCAAATTTATAACAGCTGTGTCTGTTTTAGGTTACTCAGAATATGAAAGAAAACTAATTTGGTACCTTAACTTATTATGATAAATCATATTTTTTAATTGTGTATACTAAGAACTTATAGTTGATCTTATAGAAAAAGGTGCTGTTTAATACTACACTAGGATATGGGTCTGGACAGGAATTTTCCACCCTAAAGTAACTAGGGGACATAACTCAACAACACACCTATGGATTTAAATGAATACAACATGTATAACCATTCAGTGCTCATGATAAAAAGACAGAACTATGTCAACTAAAACGAGCCTGACATATCGGCATTCAACGCAATTCAACCAGGCTCTATACTAATGGTTGCTTCAAAGTTATTTTGAAACAAACAGACCATTCTTACATCAAAGAAGGACATGTTCATATTACAAAAGAAGCATAGCTTGAAATAGCAAAGTTTTGTGCCATACCTCATTGTAATAATTTTCATCAGGTAGAAGGTAAGATCTTGACCAACGTTTAAGACACCACATTACACTACTGGTCACCTGAGGGCTTAGTGTGTCCACCATCTTTGCTGTTATAGCTTTCTTCTCTACCTCACATAACCTGAATACTGCTGAGATCAACCTATATAACAATATAAAATATTACACCTCACATAACCTGAATATTGCTGAGATCAACCTATATAACAATATAAAATGTTACACCTCACATAACCTGAATACTGCTGAGATCAACCTATATAACAGTATAAAATGTTACACCTCACATAACCTGAATATTGCTGAGATCAACCTATATAACAGTACAAGAGGGCCATGGTGGCCCTAAGGCGCTCACCTGTATAAAGCCCCCCCCCCCCCAGCAGGGCCGATTTTAATCCAAGGGCTTTTATTTGAACAAACTTGGTAGACACCCATAAGAAGATGTTTCATGCTAAACATCTAAGCTCTAGCTCATTGGGTTTCTTAAAAGAAGATTTTTTAAGTTTTTACTATACACATATAGTTAATAAATGACACCCCTGGGGCAGGGCCAGTTTTGACCCCAGGGCTTTTATTTGAACAAACTTTATAGACACTTACTAGAAGATGTTTCATGCTTAATATCTAAACTCTAGCTATTTGGGTTTTTTCAAAGAAGATTTTTAAGTTTTTGCTATACACATATAAGGAAAATCAATGACCCCCGGGGCGGGGCCAATTTTGACCCCAGGGCTCTTATTTGAACACACTTGGTAGACACCCATTAGAACATGTTTCATGCTAAATATCTTAGCTCTAGCTCTTTGAGTTCTTTAAAAGAAGATTTTTTAAGTTTTTACTATATGCATATAAGGAAAATCAATGACACCCTGGGGCGGGGCCAATTTTGACCCTGGGGCTTTCATTTGAACAAACTTGGTAGACACTCATCAGAAGATGTTTAATGCTAAATATCTTAGCTCTAGCTCTTTGGGTTCTTTAAAAGAAGATTTTTTAAGTTTTTACTATATGCATATAGGGAAAATCAATGACCCCCTGGGGCGGGGCCAATTTTGACCCTGGGGCTTGTATTTGAACAAACTTGGTAGACACTCACTAGAAGATGTTTCATGCCAAATATCTAAGCTTTAGCTCATTGGGTTTCTTAAAAGAAGATTTTTTAAGTTTTACTATACACATATAGTTAATAAATGACACCCCTGGGGCAGGGCCAATTTTGACCCCAGGGCTTTTATTTGAACAAACTTGGTAGACACTCACTAGAAGATGTTTCATGCCAAATATCTAAGCTCTAGCTCTTACGGTTTTTTAAAAGAAGATATTTAAAGTTTTTTCTTTCGGTTGCCATGGCAACCAGAGTTCTCCATGGAATTAAATTCTTTGAACAATTTTTAAAGGTGACCACCAAAGGAACATTCCTAAGAAGTTTGGATGAAATTGGCTTAGTTGTTTATGAGCAGATGCCATTTAAAGTAAAAGTTTACGGACGGCGGACGGACGACGGATGGACGCCGGACGAAAAGCGATCACAAAAGCTCACCCTGTCACTTTGTGACAGGTGAGCTAATAAAACATTACACCTCACATAACCTGAATACTGCTGAGGTCAACCTATTTAGCAGTATAAAATGTTAATGTAACAAACCTCTTTGAGTAAATGACCCAATAAAACTTAAAACCAAAATAAAGGTATTGATATTTAAGCAAAAACACTGAAATACACAATAACTAATAATGTGCCAATAGGTCACAGATTCTCCCACAATTCACTGTTTTGTCAATTTACAGATGGAAAGCATGACAACAGCATGGAAAAGACAAAGGCAAACTATACTGCCTTTAGTTGTGAAGGCATTTAAACATTAAACAATGATTATACATGTATTTCTAAGTAAACTGATACTCAATTACAAAGAATTTGACAGGTGTGCATGTTTTAAGTTTTAAACAGTTACTGATTTCCTTAAAACTTTATAACTTAAATCCCTGGTATTTGAGTACAAAATTAATGTAATAGGTTTTGTTTGACTAATTTAAGTTATTATAACACTAGTCTGTAAAAAGTTACCTTATAACAAAGTCAGAATGCGTGGAGGCTCCTGGTATTGTATCTATACTATCAGAAGGGGAGGCAAGCACTTTCAGTGTTGTATTTAGGTCTATTTCTGTTGATTGTTTTATAGAATATTGCATTACCTCCCCTGGTATCATAGGTGTCTCCCCTTCAGACTCTTCCGTCAATAAGTGACCTGATGATGATAAAGTTATTGAGTTCACATAATATAAAAGTCAACAACTTGACACCAATAAGTAAATCTGCATGTTGTATAATGTATCGTATAAGTACCTAATCTCACACCCAACCTATTCTCAAACCTTTCATTCATGTGCTGTTATTTTTTTACTAGAAGTGACTATGATGACCTGAACTTGTGTACATAAAAGCTTAGTTTCTGACAGACATGTCTGCTGATGTCAAATGAAAACAGTGCATAGGAACAAATATTTACATAACATATTTTATTACATAGCGTAATTTCATACAAATTGCTATTACCTTTGTAAGTCCCATAAATACACCATTAACTATTTGTGAAAATGAATATTATAGACAAAAATATCTTAAAGCAGGTACCTGCATCCTGTAGAGTACTTCATTGTCATGTGATAGGCATATAACAATCACTTCGTTGGCTAAACTAAACAGTAGAATTTTAGAGATACTTGAAGGGGTTTGAGATTAGGTTCTTTATTTTAAGAGGCCATGTTAGTTTTATAACAGAGGGTTGTGCTTTTCCAAGATGGAAATAGAGCTTTTTTAATAGTTGAATTTCAGTCAAATTTTACAGAAATGTTACATAAAGATTAAAGTGTACATATGTAAAGAATTTTTATAAAGATGTATTTTTATTTACATTAAAAGACCTCTTGAATGCTTAGAGGTTTGAGAACTGGTTAGTCCACGATATAATTCTATAAAAATAATAAAAAGTGTTTGCCATGTAGTAATGAGTGTACTAATAGTTGTAAACTATGGCTTTACTCATTAACATTGATGTTTCCTTCTTTTATTTGTGTTTTTTGTTGTTGTTTCTTTTTTACAACAGAACAAAATTAACATTGCATTTATAACAAACAATTATTTTATTTTGAGATTTGAACATGCTCATATCTCAATGCATTTTCTCAAGAACAAAAAATTCATCAATTTTATAACAGACAGTTCCGAAGTCACAGTAACACCAGTTCATTACATAAATTCAGTCAAGTTAGGGTTATTTCACACTCACCAGGGTTTATAAACTTACAAGTCACTAGGGTTAAATATAAACTTACCAGTCACTAGGACCAGCCAGTGTAGATCCTCGTGTAAGACTGATATAAGTGAGTTATCAAAACTACAATTCATGTTACCAGACGACATCCGCATTTGATGAATTCTTTGTAGTTGTCCGTGTAATCTAGTTATCCTATCCTCCATTGCTCTGTAATAGTGAAAAATATACATAAACAAGAGCTGTCAGTAGGACAGAGTGCTCAACTATTTTCTGTGTTTGATAGTAAAACAAGAGCCTGGATAATGCAGAATTATCTAAGTTCAAATCCATGTAAGAGGTATGGGCATTGGATAGTGACTTATTATGCTCTTAAAATTTAAAAGTGTGTGAAGTTTCAAACTATTCCCTTCAGTAGTTTTGGAGGTATCAACCTGTATAAAGAAACTTCAAGTGTGACTTTGACAAGTCGAGCTACAAACCAATGAATTTTTGCTAATCGATGAAATAAGTTAGATATACATTTATAAATATCACACATTGTGTAATATTCATGTGAAAATTAAGGGTTGTACATGTATATACCCTTTAACCATTTCAAAAATTGTTCATGATAAGACAAACCTAGTTATCATACTAATGCTGTTATCTATGGTCAATCTTCCAAGAGCACCTACACTGACCAACTGGTCAGCAAACTTGTCACGGTCATCTTCCTCTATCTCATCTATATCATCCTCGTCCGGTCGAGAATCCTGAGTGTTCTAAAAGTGAACATTAAATCTCTGTCATTTTTCATGGAATCCATTTGGACAGTCTTAAAATTTTACAGTTTATACAATAACATTTGATTTGGGATTAAATAAGAGAAGCACTTGCCAATTAAGTAAGTTGTCTCCCTTTTAACCTCTCTCTTTAACCTCTGTAAGTCAAAATTCTTTCCTCAAAGGCGGCTAGTACTAGTAAAGGAGTCAGATTTAAAAATAAATCAATCTTTAAACTCATAATTTAAGCTGAAATAAGTTCAAACAATAACAGAAATATTATAGATTTAATATCATATGTCTTTTACCAAATAAGTAACATTTAACTCCAATCAAAAACTTTTGTAAAAGGGGGATGGAGAAAGTTTTGCTTAGAATCATAGGACTATTTCTTAAACAAACTATAGGAAATGAAAATACATGCGAAAATGCTTTAAAAATGGAAATAAAATAAAGAAAATCGCATTTATTACAATTTACATTGTATATAAAACAAATAACAAAGGTGGGGAAATAATAAAAAAGATCAGATATGAAACTGTGTACCTGAACTCTACAACCATCTGGTGGACTAATATGACATTGCACGTAAGAGTTGAACACATGTACAGCCTGAGATTTGATAATCTCCATGGGAATATTATCTTTTTTTGTTGTTAACAACTCCATCCATGTCTCTAACAGTTTCTCATAAGCTTCCATATGGACTGTATCCTCTTTGTGCATCTGTAAATCAAACTCATGCTCTTACTTATAGTAGTATGAAAAGATAGGCCAAGGAATATTTAATCACAAGACATTCTATTATCCTATGTAAGATGTGAAATTATTACAAATTTTCCTATATTAAATCTATTTTTCGAATGTTGTTACATACTGTTAGCCAACACAGTCTTAGGATTAGAAAGATGTACAAAAGAAACACCCATAAAACATACAAAACATCTCGACATTTAAATTTGTTTTATACAAAGAATGCCAAATTTCGTTGTCATATAACATAAAATTTTATGAAACTTGTCCCCCAACAGTAAGACCCCTGCTTATAAAAAGTCTCTTATACTTTAAATATAATTTACATTATCTATCAATTCATAAAATTCTTTTTGTACATCTGTATCAAAAGTAATACTTTGATTCACGGAACAGTGTCACTTTTCAATTTTTCAAAACACTTTTAATTCTTCTCATGACACCAAAGTAATTCAATCAAAGTAAAATTTCAGTACAAGCAGATGTCAAAGACTGACGTAAAGTAACATAAAACATAATAAACAGTACATATATTTCAGTACAGTGTAAATTTGTATCAAACACACATGCATTATCTGATAATTTACTAACAAACCTCTTCTTCAAGAGCTGCCTCCCGTCCAAAAGCACAAGTTAATGTTTGTAAACGTTCTATAAATCTTCTATAATGAGCTTCTGGTAGAGACATAAAGCAAATAGATGGAAACATCATAATCAGATTCTTGAATATACAGGAAACACCTAGACATTCATAATCCTGTAAATCTACACTGAAAATATAGAAAACACAATTGTCTTATTCTTTTGCTTGAATTTATCCAGCAATATCAAATTAATTACCTTCATAATTGCCATAATAAAATTATGCAATCCATAAGTCAGAGAGTTCAAATTTCAATTTGATGAGATTCAAACAGTCAAAATACTGTAAGGACCTACCCCCCTAGGGTAGTTACCAAATCCTTATTAATCAGGATACCGGCCACTGTATTAACTAGTAAGTGTATGGCAATACTTCTACCCCATATTACATACACTTACAAGTAGCTGTTGTTTTAAACATCAGACATAGCTTCAACACATCTTAGTCATCTTTGTAGTATACATCATAAGAGGTAGGCTCAGATCATAATAGAGACATCATAGTTTCATCAAGGGATCCTTTGTAAGTATCTGGTCATCTTGTCAGGATATTTATATAACCAGGATTTATACAACCTATTACTTAGGATAGAGTGTACAAATATAGGTAAGTCCTGCATTGGTAACACAGGAAACTGGTACAAGACATCAGTAACTCGATTAACATGTAAACGTCATTTAATAATGTGACATCATATATAACAAGTGCATCTCAATAAATATGTATATGATACTAGGATCTATTCTGTGACGTAGATCTATCGATATAAACGAATAAATATCGGCATTAACAATTCTTCTTCGATGGAATATATACCGGCATTGACAATACTCGACAATAGAGGACCTAGGCTTATGCAATGGGATCTTCTTCGGTTATGAACATTTAGTTACAAATAAATGTAAAGTATGACAGGATGTTGGAAATTTCTAAGACCAATGCATCTTTTAGGGTCTGCCATAACGTGATAATTCATATTAGGTTCAGCATCAAATGAATTTGTAATAGACTTCTGTAAGTAAACTGTTGTTGTTTACTATAGTACTGGATAGCTTAACGCTCAGCAAATAAAGGTAAGTTATTATTTCTAAACAATATTTCCACTAGTTGTACCTTAGAAGATAGTAATCTGTTACAGGCAATTCTAAATAAATTTATAGATCAGGTAAGACTGCTGTGAAGCTTTAGAGCTATCTGAGCTTTGAGTACTTCTCAAGTTTTTACAGTTGAGAAGAAGATGCCAAATGACGACAGTCACCCCTATTTATAAACTTTTGGGACGCTACAAAGAGTGCTCCAGCCAATGAAAATCCCGGCTTAAGACTAGGTCCAGTGATCAGTCTTTAACAATATTTAACAATATAGCAATAACAATAAAAGTTCTAACAGACATAAGTAGCACATATATGGCTTAATTGAAAAGCCACATAAACATATCTGAAATAACATTTAAAAATACATATTAAGAAAAAGCCGGTCCAAAATACTTGAGCATAGTAATATATGCAGACGTATTCCATTACGCAGATAAAATACAGTTCTCACTTAATAAAATATGATAATGACAGAAAATCATCCGGCTCAAATCAGGCTTACAATTATTTTTACATAAATAAGAAATCCTGAAAGTTTAAATGTAAACAAATATACATTCATAACAAGAGGGCCATGATGGCCCTGGATCGCTCACCTGACACAACCGCATCCAAGCAATGTCTTAAACAAGCATCATGACCAAGTTTGATGCGACTGAGTCAAACATGTGACCTCTAGTGTGTTATAAAGATTTTTCCATATTTGGGCAATTTGACCTAATTTTTGACTGGACACGACCCATATTCAAACTTGACCTAGAAATCATCAAAACAACCTTTCTGACCAATTTCCAGGAAATTTGGATCAAAACTGCAGCCACTAGAGTGTTAAAAAGATTTTTCTATTTTTAGCTCCTGTGACCTAGTTTTTGACCAGACATGACCAATCTTAGCACTTGACCCAGAAAACATCAAAACAACATTCTTGACAAATTTCCTGAATATTTGAATAAAAACTGCAGCCACTAGAGTGTAAACAAGCTTTTTCTATTTTTAACTCCTGTGACCTAGTTTTTGACCTGAGATGGCCCATCTTCGAACTTGACCTAGAAATCATCAAAACAACCTTCCTGACAAATTTCCAGAATATTTGAATCAATACTGCAGCCACTAGAGTGTTAACAAGCTTTTTCTATGTTTAGCTCCTGTGACCTAGTTTTTGACCGGAGATAACCCATCTTCGAACTTGACCTAGACATCATCAAAACAACCTTCCTGACAAATTTCAAGAATATTTAGATGAAAACTGCAGCCCCTAATGTGTTAACAAGCTTTTCTATTTTTAGCTCCTGTGACCTAGTTTTTGACCGGCATCTTCGAACTTGACTTAGATATCATCAAAACAACCTTCTTGACAAATTTCCAGAACATTTAGATGAAAACTGCAGCCATTAGAGTGTTAACAAGCTTTTTCTATTTTTAGCTCCTGTGACCTAGTTTTTGACCTGAGATGACCCATCTTCGAACTTGACCTAGAAATCATCAAAACAACCTTTCTGACAAATTTCCAGAATGTTTGGATGAAAACTGCAACCATTAGAGTGTTAACAAGCTTTTTCTATTTTTAGCTCCTGTGACCTAGTTTTTGACCAGACATGACCCATCTTCGAACTTGACCTAGAAATCATTAAAACAACCTTCCTGACAAATTTCCAGAATATTTAAATCAAAACTGCAGCCACTAGAGTGTTAACAAGCTTTTTCTATTTTTAGCTCCTGTGACCTAGTTTTTGACCGGTGAACACCCATCTTCGAACTTGACCTGAAAATCATCAAAACAACCTTCCTGACAAATTTCCAAAATATTTGGATGAAAACTGCAGCCACTAGAGTGTTAACAAGCTTTTTCTATTTTTAGCACCTGTGACCTAGTTTTTGACCGGACATGACCCATCTTCCAACTTGACCTAGATATCATCAAAACAACCTTCCTGACAAATTTCCAGAATATTTGGATGAGAACTGCAGCCACTAGAGTGTTAACAAGCTTTTTCTATTTTTAGCTCCTGTGACCTAGTTTTTGACCGGACATTACCCATCTTTAAACTTGACCTAGATATCATCAAAACAACCTTCCTGACAAATTTCAAGAATATTTGGATGAAAACTGCAGCCTATAGAGTGTTAACAAGCTTTTTCTATTTTTAGCTCCTGTGACCTAGTTTTTGACCAGACATGACCCATCTTCGAACTTGACCTAGATAAAATCAAAACAACCTTCCTGACAAATTTCCAAAATATTTGGATGAAAACTGCAGCCACTAGAGTGTTAACAAGCTTTTTCTATTTTTAGCTCCTGTGACCTAGTTTTTGACCGGAGATGACCCATCTTCGAACTTGACCTAGATATCATTAAAACAACCTTCCTGACAAATTTCCAGAATATTTGTATGAAAACTGCAGCCTCTAGAGTGTTAACAAGCTTTTTCTATTTTTAGCTCCTGTGACCTAGTTTTTGACCCGAGATAACCCATCTTCGAACTCGATCTGTATTTCATTGAGACAAACATTCTGACAAAGTTTGATGATGATCCAATCAAAACTGTGACTGCTAGACTGTTAACAACCCAATTGTTAGAGTGTTAACAAGCTTTTTCTATTTTTAGCTCGTGACCTAGTTTTTGACCAGAGATGACCCATCTTCGAACTTGACCTAGATATCATCAAAACAACCTTCCTGACAAATTTCCAGAATATTTGGATGAAAACTGCAGCCTCTAGAGTGTTAACAAGCTTTTTCTATTTTTAGCTCCTGTGACCTAGTTTTTGACCCGAGATAACCCATATTCGAACTCGATCTGTATTTCATTGAGACAAACATTCTGACAAAGTTTGATGATGATCCAATCAAAACTGTGACTGCTAGACTGTTAACAACCCAATTGTTAGAGTGTTAACAAGCTTTTTCTATTTTTAGCTCGTGACCTAGTTTTCGACCAGAGATGACTCATCTTCGAACTTGACCTAGATATCATCAAAACAACCTTCCTGACAAATTTCCAGAATATTTGGATGAAAACTGCAGCCTCTAGAGTGTTAACAAGCTTTTTCTATTTTTAGCTCCTGTGACCTAGTTTTTGACCCGAGATAACCCATCTTCGAACTCGATCTGTATTTCATTGAGACAAACATTCTGACAAAGTTTGATGATGATCCAATCAAAACTGTGACTGCTAGACTGTTAACAACCCAATTGTTGACGACGAACGACGCACAACGCACGACGCACGACGCACGACGACGGACGCCGGACATAGCCCCATCACTATACCTCACCATGACCACTTCGTGGTCAGGTGAGCTAAAAAGCCAGGCTGAAATACAAATAAGTAGTTCCAAAGTTCTGTGTCCGCCATTTTTAAACATGGAAAATGACAGAAGAAAGCGCCGTCTGAATCTTCCAATAATGTCTGTAGATATTCATTTTGTGATATATTATAGTAACTGTAAATGTTCCAAATTATTAGATATTCATCAGGAAATAAATCAGGGTCATCTGACCATTTTGTGGCGATAGTTATCTATCCTAATGTGATACTCTTCTTAAAAGAGAACTGTCAACAATGCTGATATTCAAGTTTTACGTTGTGTTTCATGGAATAAAGTCCATTTGTTAAAAAGGTAGCATTATTTGATAATTGTTAATACATTTTTAAGTAAGAACAGTTCATGATTTATAGAATTATGCACATGTTGATAATCTGTTGAAAGTATAACGTAAATTATCATGTAATTTGAAATGTCCAAAATAAGGGAGGTATTCCATTACAATACGTTTAAAATATTCAACTTAATGATAAGCATCTATAAAAAGATTCGGACTGATAAAAAGTACAATCAATATTCATATAATAATAATTATTACTTTTTATATGTTAAAGTGTTTCTTAAGAAAATGTCAACCAAATGTTACCAAGAAATCTGTTTGAACCAAATATCACCAAACAATTTAATATTATCAATACATAGATTATATCCTGAAATTTTTACACAAACTTTAAGCACACTGACTCTTGTATATCAGTATAAATATTCAACACAGGATAAGCCCTTTAAAATACTAAAATATAAAGCCCTTTTTCAATAAACTAAACTAAGCCTTTCAGTCAATTTTGTAGAAAATGGACAACTTGACAATAACATACCTGGTAAGAAAATCGAGCAATGTTTCACTATAATAAGTAAGGTATTGTGTACGAGCCCTGTCATCTGGAAACACTGGTCCATTCAGTGAAGCAAGCTGTGTCAGACATTGTATCGAGTGGGTCGCCATATCTGAATTATGACGGGCCTTTTGATGTATCTGTAAATATTAACAAAATACATTACATTACACGTCAAATTCTATGACTATGACCACTATCAAAGATTTGACATCTTTATTTCCAAAACATAAATAGAGGATAGTTAAATATAGAATTATTTGACTAAGGATAGTGTGTAAGTTTAATACTGAATTTTTTGACTGAGTTGAATAAAATTATATTATCCAAACCTCTGGCGAGCATATTATTTTATTCAACAAGTTCAATAAATTAAGTAATGAACTTACACAAATATAATATTCTATTTATCACAAACCCAAAAAATAAACTGTTTAAAGTGAAAAAAGTAACATTTTTCATTGTCAGGCAATTAGTCTCATTACAATATTTCCACATCGAACTATTTTTACGGAGTCACAAAAGCGGCAGGGTTATGTGATAAAGCTTGATAATGAAACTTTTTTTCAACTGATATTGATAACATTAGAATCCACTAACCATTACTAATGTCACATGAAGGAACAGTCATGCTGCTTCTCTTGACAACTGAACTGGTGGAATTAAATGGCCATTAATCCACTTCTATTTTGAAAAGAGCACAAAGATGTTAACAATACAGCTTTGATATGATAAATTCTTTTAGACTTCTCGTAAATTCAGGCAAGGTAAGAGAATAATGCACTCAGTGGGTAAGGGTTGACAATAATATTGCAAAAACTGAATCTTCTCTCTTAACCATTTAGGTACTAGTGCATCCATGCCATCTGATTTATTGTACTGTTTGCTATTCTGTTTATATCTTGAAATTTTCCCTAAAAATGCAGAATGGTTCGGTTCAGATTGAGCGATGAGCAGTCCATTTAAGATATTGAGTGTAGTAAGGTTTTAAGAATAAATAATAATTGTTACTCTACTGCACTGATCTAAAACTTCATAAAGTTGTTTACCCGGAATATAAGCTGTATCAAAGTCTGATCAAGTAAAGTTTCTCTCCACTTATCATGGGGTTTTAATGTCACACTCTGGTCTTTATCAAAATATCCCACATTTCTACGTACTATAATGTATGTTAAGGAATGGAAAAGTGTAAAATCACAGGATTTGTCTTTATCTTTTTGGTACTGTACTACGAAGAAAATATCTTCAGGAAATCTAAAATTTGTTGTCTATGAAAGTCTGACATCATTTGATTTATAAATTATATGATTGATGACTTTATTAAAGGATACACATGTTAGTTTTTGGTGTAAATTCCCAGCAGAGAACTTGTTCTGTAATGCCCAGGAATCTATTTAGGACAGCTGTTGTCTCTCGAGGCAGTGGTGACGGCTGTTTTTCTATTTCATTTAACACTTGAAGTGAGAACAGGAACACTTTCTGCAAGTCATTTTCCTGAAGAAAAAAATATAATCTAATTATTAACCTTCTCAACACTAGCAGTTATGATGATAGGTGTATGCAAGCGGTACAGAGTGGGGCAATTTTCTTTATATCCTAATCTCACTATATCTTGCTTGATGCTTAATTATAGCATTGTAACATTGAAATCTGTTAATTACATTTGATAATTTAATAAATACACAATGGTCATTTCCACATTCAAAGTAATGGAAATCTATGGAACAAATTAAATTGGACAAGGTAAGTTCATGAAAAAAAGTAGTCATATTATCATGTTATAATAAGTATAAGATAAAGGCTTACAAGATTAACAATTTAGTACCTTTTCACAAATTTCAAATCAAATTTCATTTTTGAAAGAAATGGTACAAAAAATAAAAGCGTAAATTAGAAAATGGGTCAAAGACAGAAAAGGCCGGGTTGCATATGTGTACAAAATATCATGAGGCTGTGATGTTTCTTAAATTTTCTACCATTGTCTGACCATTGATGTTGAAAATTTAACTTAGTTGGTAAACCTGAAAAGAATGAGCATCAGACCTGAAATGGAATCCCACAATATGGGACCACAGTCATGTCAATGCTGTGAACCACATATCAAGAGGCTGTGGTAAGAAGTTGTTGAGAAAACTGTTACGAAAATTTCCTACTATCTATTGATCATTAATTATGTCAAAATTTAACTAAATTGGCAAACAGGAAGTAGATGAGCGATAGACCTGAAATCAAATCGCACAGTATGGGACCACGTGATAATGCTGTATACAAAATATCAAAAGGCTGTGATAAGAATTTGCTGCGTAAACTGTTACGAAAATTTCCAACCATTAACCATTAATGACAAAAGTTAACTAAGTCGGCAAACAGGAAGTGGATGAGTGACAGACCTGAAATCGAATTCCACCGTATGGGACCATGTGTTAATGCTGTATACCAAATATCAAAAGGCTGTGATATATAGTTGCCAAGAAAACTGTTATGAAAATTTCCTATTGTTGACCATTAATGTTGAAAATTTAACTAAGTCGGCAAACAGGAAGTGGATGAGTGACAGACCTGAAATCAAATCCCACCGTATGGGACCATGTGTTAATGCTGTATACCAAATATCAAAAGGCTGTGATATATAGTTGCCAAGAAAACTGTTACGAAAATTTCCTATTGTTGACCATTAATGTTGAAAATTTAACTAAGTCAGCAAACAGGAAGTGGATGAGAGACAGACCTGAAATTGAATCCCACAGTATGGGACCATGTGTTGATGCTGTATACAAAATATCAAAAGGCTGTGATAAGTAGTTGCCAAGAAAACTGTTACGAAAATTTCCTACTATTGACCATTAATGTAGAAAATTTAACTAAGTCGGCAAACAGGAAGTGGATGAGTGACAGACCTGAAATCGAATCCCACGATATGATACCATGTGCTGATGCTGTATACCAAATATCAAAAGGCTGTGATAAGTAGTTGCTGAGAAAACTGTTACGAAAATTTCTTCCTACTGTATTCCTAGAAATCTTCGCGGATACAATATTTCGCGTTTTTTACAACGTCGTCATTTTCGCGGAGACAAACTTTCGCGGATATGTAGTAACCGCGAATTCCGCGAATGTTAAGTCACTACGGCCTAAATTACAGTTTTTGGAGGCTACGTTTTTGATGCATGACCTTGTCTGTTGGGTGCTTTGAATTATTTTATTTTTTTGACAAGTCGCGCCTAAAGCGCACCGTTACTCGATACATGTTCATCTATTGACTACTTTCATGTTTCCTTACCTTTTTCATTATGTGATTAAGTAAGATTTAGTCAGACCCGTTTTTATTCTCATTTGAATCATAACTGACTTTTTCTTCAAAATGTCGATACGTAATTTTTACACATTGTCGGGCTGTACATTGCTTTCATTATAACAACATAACAGTTGTTTATCAATATCGCTATTGTACTTTTAACAAAGGATTACACCTACTCCAAGCAAATAAAATCCAAGTCATTCAATGTTCACAAACTGTAAATGCGTTTGTCAACGCCCTGACTAACCGTCAATAAGCATGATAATTACTAATAATTGATATTTTCTTTTTCAGCGTGCAACTATTATCAATAACATACATAAATAATTCTTTACACATTTCTATAGCCCCTGTGTTTTTATGGGGTTTTTTTTGTATAAGTAGATTATAATAAATATTCTGCACTTTTTATCTTATATTTATTTGAAGCTAGAAATGTTCGCGGATTTGTTAAAAGTGACATATTCGTGGCTATTAAGATTCGCGGAATCATGCCTACCGCGAAAAGCGCTAACTTAAAATGCGCGAAATCTTTTCTAGAAATACAGTATTGGCCATTAATGTTGAAAATTTAACTAAGTCGGCAAACAGGAAGTAGATGAGCGACAGACCTGAAATCCAATCCCACAGTATGGGACCATGTGTTGATGCTGTATACCAAATATTAAAAGGCTGTGATCAGTAGTTGCTGAGAAAACTGTTACGAAAATTTCCTACCATTGACCATTAATGTTGAACATTTAACTAAGTCAGCAAACAGGAAGTAGATGAGCGACAGACCAGAAATCGAATCCCACGATATGAGACCATGTGTTGATGCTGTATACCAAATATCAAAAGGCTGTGATAGGTAGTTGTTGAGAAAACTGTTACGAAAATTTCTTACTATTGACCATTAATGTTGAAAATTTAACTAAGTCAGCAAACAGGAAGTAGATGAGCGACAGACCCGAAATCGAATCCCACAGTATGGGACCATGTGTTGATGCTGTATACCAAATATCAAAAGGCTTCGATAAGTAGTTGCTGAGAAAACTGTTACGAAATTTTTTTTTGCCCGCCCGCCGCCCAACATTCACCATACTATAACCCGGGTTTGCACCAGTGCAACCCGGCCAAAAAATTGATTAAGATAGGTTATGAAGCTTAAAGCTCCTATAAGTTTGGTGTTATGATTTTACCTCAAATGCTCTTTTACATTTGGTATGGAACTCCCAGGTAAAGCCCACACTACTGGTTCTACTAGAGCTAGAGTATTCATTCAACAAAGCTGTCAACATGGAACATGCTACTAATTGCTGAAATAATAAAATAAACAAAAATTTCATTTATGAACAGGAATAAGCATTTGTTTTGTTATAGATTTTTCACATTTTGTTATAGATTTTTAACAATCAATAAAAATTAATTTCATCATATCCAACATACTGTTTTATAGTGTCATAAAATCTGTATACAATTAGTTCACAAGGCAATTTTCTAGGTTTACTGATACGGATTGAGAAAGATCCATCAGACTTGAACATTCCCACATGATTATTTTATGTACCATGAGATTTTTCCTGATGAAACATTAAATCATCTGCTTTACTTGATATCACATGAAACAAACCTGTTACACCAGTAAAGACTATAGTTTACAGAATAAAGTGGTTCAGTCAATTATTTTTACCACTTAAACCTCACCAAATAAAGCAGATAACCCTTTAAATGCTAGCTGAAATAAAGTTTTGCCTATACCACCTAGGTAAAATCATGCAAGCCTGTGCATATATTTATACTGGGATCTCTAAAATAGGTTCCCACTTCACAGCAGGAATATGTAAGAAAGTCTTTAAGACATTGCTCATTGTCAGATGTAGAACATAGTGTAGATGTTATTACTGTAAGGGTGATTTCTGAGCCAACATTAACAAATGCAATTTCAGTTAATACACTCCAATACAATGCATGAAGCATCATAAACACAAGGAGCTGGTAACTTTATCTCACTCTGTAAAATTACTCAAGGCTTTTAAACTTGTGAATACAATCTGCCACCAACTTGATTTTAGCAATAATTTTTTTATAACATTTTAACTCAATCCAACAGAGCTTATAACAAAGCCTACCATTGTGACATTTCCACTACTAATAAGCTGAGTAACATCTTGGAAGAGGCCATCAAGCCGTGCTCCCTTTGGGTCCAACGTCCCTCTCTTCAATATAACAGCAACTGTCTGTAAAATCTGCTCTCTGACATAGCTTTGTAAGCTTAAATGAAAGATAAAGTATACAAGTTCAATATTGGTCACCTGTCAAAAGCTTTTAGGCAAATAAAATGAACAGGAATTGGGAAAGTAACTAAGCGAACTCCATACAATAGTACATTAGTGAGATAAAATAGGGGTTATAATTTATATCAACATCATCATATTCATATAATATTTAAGTTTCAAAGCAGAAAAAGCCAATCAAACAAATAAATGGTAAATAATAAGCTTTGCTGAAAGCAAATAAAGTGAAATTTGCCATTATATATAAAATATCTAGAAAAGCATTGAAATAGCGCATTTTTTATCGGGCTTTAAGTCGGTTTAAGATCGCTTTCTCAAATTAAAGAATCTAAGGCCTTTAGCAGAATTTGAACCCACAGCAGCAAGAGTCTCTTAGTCAGCAACCATAACCACTCGGCCAAGGGGGTCAAATCAAAATAATAGTATGAAAAGATAAGCCCTTCACATGCTGACTTTGTGTAATTGCTTAGCCCAGCTTTCAATTTGGAACATTCCATTGTATTATATTGATACACAGATGTGCAGGCTGTTTTGGCTCTATACTGGTGGAAAATGCTAATTCGTTTTGGTTTCTAACTGATTATGGGTTAAGAATTACTCGTACCTGATATGTTGAGTAATATATCTGAGGAGAAAAGCACGTAAAGATTCAATATCATCAGCAGCAAGTATTGACCACTCACGTAACACACTCTCTTGTATTGTTGTAGCTGCCTGGTACAGTACATAATCTGTCTTACATGTCTCTGTATCAATTATAACAACAACAACAATTATAATGAACCTTTACAAATTTTTCAGGATTAGAATTTAACATTTTTTCTACATGCAAAATTTTGCAAGTACAAGAAATTTTAACTCGCAAACCAATTGAAACCATAATATTTACTAGTATTTACTCATGTACAATGTATCAGTATTTGTCTATTGCTCAAATGCCATTTTGCATGTATTGTCTTTGGAGATTACATTTTCTGTAAAGTTTCATTTCTTTTTACATAGTAATAATATATTAATTGATTTTCATTCTACACTAGCCAAAGTTTGCAAATGTACAGAAATGTTACTGGCATTTTTCAATTATGAGTCTGCAAGTGCTAAATTTAAGCCCTGAATGACAATTGACAGACAAATATATGAATAAGTCAACAGATATTAAAATAAATAAATAAATCAAATGTTTCCAAACACCTTATTCTAGATGCAATGTCAAATATCCTAAATTTAGAAAAAAGTACCAGGCAACTATTTTGATTATCATAATGAATAACAAATTCACACAGATAAATGTGTACATGCTCTGATGCTCAAAAAGACATTTTATAACATCTTTACAAGTTCTGCAACATGAATTATGCTTAAATTCTTACCGAGAATAGTTTTGCAAATATTGTATGGCAGTTTTGTTTTTCTAAACTGGAGAATTACAGATTCAGCAGCTTGTCTTTGTTCATGAGTCACTAGATTAGGAGGTGCCTGAAAGAATACATTAACAACATAAACTTTTGCATCACTTTTTTCAGTTTATATATCTCAGAAATAATTGGGAATAACTGGTGTGGTGTTCCAATTGTGATAACAGCATGAGCTGCCAGTATATGATATAAAAGTTTAAAACCCAATTTGTAACATACACATTCCATACTGGGCATTTACAACACAAAATTATGATTATTATTTTTAGTCACACCTAAAGTTGTGAAGCACCAGAATTTTTAAGACCTTGCCTACGATAATGGTGAGTGTATGAATGTCAATAGACTAAAACCAAATGCCCACATAGTGTATTTGAGATTAACAGCTTGCCATATGTAGCAACAGACCTGGGGTAATCACTAATCGTAATCATCGATTTTTTAATTGATTACATGATTACACTGTAATCATCATGTAACTGATTACCTTGCTCAAAATTGATTACATTAATTGTAATTAATCAATTACAGCTTTAATTCAGTCTGTAATTATGATTACAATTTGATTGATGTTGATTACTTTCAGATTTTATATGAAACTATTGAAATTCAAATGATTTATTTCACATGTTACAGTTTAACTAAGGTAGTAAAATATCAAGTGTGACATTTTAAGATATCACTCACAATGAAGAAATAAGTTTTAATCCATACAGTTAACCAAATTCTAACTGAAAGATAGACATCATTGTTTAGCTGGTATTCTATCCAAACTGTCAAATCATTGGATTTATGATGTCTTTGAATTTCCTGAAGAAACATCTGTAAATGTGACAGCACAGTGCAAATTGTGCCCTTGGAAGATAAATGGATACACTAAGTCACATTCAAATTTCATTACCCACATAAAGGTATGTCAAATTTTGTTTCACATATTTTGGTTTAACCATGTTTTAAAAAGTTTCAAACAATGTAAATAACTTCTTTACTTTGCATATTCTAGAGTTTATGTCGGATGCATATTACCATATTTTAATTATATGCAACAGTTATTTTGTAAGGTGATAGACAATGTGTCTATATTATAGAGTGTTTGTAAAAAAAAATATGATAATTTCTGTGTAAAGTCTATTGTCTCTTTGAGTTCCCATAAAAAAATTTGTTTTGTTCACACCTGTTTTAACACCTGCATGCAGCATACTACAATTGACACTTTTCAAAATTTCTGTTGCAGAGAATTCATTATGAAACCTACACCAAGAAGACTGAGGACCATTCTTCATCGGCCCCTGTAAAACGTTTGTGTTGCGGGGTAAAATTTTCTGTCCTGATAGATGCAGTCTGACTGACAGACGGTTTCATGAACTTATGATGCTAAAGTGCAATGCTAAAATATGATAAAGTGATGTGACAGTAACTGAAAGTGTGTTAAATTGATGACTGTTGATGAGCTGGAAATCCTTCGTGTATATAATGTATATATAATGTATATATTAAAAAGCATGAAGAAACTTTTGTTTATAGTGATACATTGAATGTAATCAATTCTAAATCAATTACTTTCTTAAAGTAATTGTAATTTAATTAATTAGAGGGGCAAGTCTGAGTAATCAATTGTAATCAATTACAATAAAATCTGAAAGTAATTGTAAATAAAAGTAATTGTAATTAAATGTAATCATCCCCAGGTCTGTGTAGCAATCAACAACCTGAATACTGATTTGTAATTATCAGATAATTATCAAGATGGCGGGAGAAAAAGGAATTTTGTTGACCACATTTTTTACGATTTTAATTTGTACTACAATCAACTTTTATCAGAAAAACATCGTAAACTGTCAACGAACGATACACAATTCTTCAGGGATCCTTGTAAATGTAACATATCCGCAGATTGGACTTGTAAATCTGTTTGAAAGACTTTCGTACCTTTCGTACTCAACTGTCAAACTCGGAGGAAGTCATTTCGACCCAGACTCGAAACAAATTTTTAAACTTGATAAACATAATGTAACACTAAACTTTAGATCAGTGTTCATTTTCTGCTTGCTTCAGTGTGGCGATGTTCATCCTCACCCGGGTCCAGCTTCAGATAAACGTATTACTTCACGGAAAGGGAGACAACCCAAATATCCATGTACTAAATGTGAAAGAGGAGTTACCTCTCGTAGTAAAGCAGTAAGCTGTGATATTTGTCAACAGTGGACTCATATAAAATGTACCACCAGTATAACAGAAAAAGATTATGAATCCCTATGTAGAGGTGATGTTATATTTAACTTTACGTGTAATGGATGCACATTTACTGAACTTCCATTTTCACAAGATGCTCCTAATTTTAATGACTCTGAATTGTTGTTTACGACAAATTCAAATGAAACACAAAATCCTTCTGAAATAAGTCAAGATCATTTCCAGTGTTTCTTTCAAAAAGGACTGCATTTTATTAAAGTTATTGCGAGATCCTTACTTCCTAAAATATCGGAACTCCGGCTAATTGCACTAAAATCCAAAGCAGCTGTTATCTCAGTGTCAGAAACCTGGCTTGACTCTTCAGTACCTGATGGGGAAGTTAATGTTCCAAATTATTCAGTTATAAGGCGTGACCGCAACAGGAATGGAGGTGGAGTGTGCATGTTTGTACGTGACGACCTGGCGTTCAATATAAGAACAGACTTATCATGGGATGGCGAAGAAATCTTATTCCTGGAACTACTCTTGCCAAGAAACAAGCCTATCATTGTTGGGACTGTCTACAGACCTCCAAAACATTCTAGTTTTTAAACAGTTTTGAAAACATTTTAACTCATTTAAGAACAGATTGTGAAACTATAATTTTAGGTGATTTTAATATTTGTGTATTACATAAGACTGGTTCTTTTTACAAGTCTTATTACAATATTTTATGGCTTTTTAATTTAGAACAAATTATTTCAGAACCTACTAGAATTTGTAGTTCATCTATTAGTCTACTTGATCATATTCTATGTAATAACAAAGAAAAAATATCTCAGTCAGGAGTTATTCCTATGGGTCTGAGTGATCATATGCTTACTTTTTGCACAAGAAAAATAGTGAAAGTTCCTGCAAAGGAACATAATTATGTTAAAATCAGGTCTTTAAAAAATTATGATAAAACAGATTTTATTTCCAGATTAACAAATGCTGACTGGAGTACTTGTTTTTACTCTACTGATGTTAATACTGCATGGATTTCTTTTAAAAATGTGTTTACTAGTGTTTTAGACTCTGTGGCCCCAGTAAAGGAAGTAAGACTACGTAACCAGTCAGAGCCTTGGATTAACTCCGAAATACTAGATAGTATCAAAAAAAGAGACCCGTATTTATATGAATCCCGGACAATCCCCCTCCCGGACGATTCCCCTTCCATATTATTTTCACAACCCGGACATTTCCCCTCTCGTTATTTTAATAGGGTGGACTTTTCCCCTCCCGTTAATTTTATAGGACGGACAATTCCCCTCCCGTTATTTTAGCAGAGAGGACAATTCCCCTCCCGTTTTTTCACAGAGCGAAACGTGACATTATACGGCCCTTAATCATAGCCGCCACTGCGTATAAAAAAATCTATAACCATTCTTATTAAAGATAACAGTTTTTACTTTTAACAACAAATTGTTAAAGATCGGAACTTTTAAGAATCATTATTTCACAAAAGTGACATTATACCGCCTTTAATCATTGCCGCCGCTGCTTAAGATAAACAAACTGTCAATAAAAAAATCTTTAATCAATGCTGCCCTTAATTAAACGTGTCCTTGATTGCAAAACCAATTATTTATAATTATTTTACCGCTGCAGAAATGTATTGACGAAATAAAGATTATCTTAACAAAAAAATGCGCTTTGTTTTGTTTATATTCATGTCAATATAGAAAAGCAAAATGTATTTAAAGTCGATTAAAAATATCTTTCAAATAAACAATTATTTTATTATAACATATCTATGTTCAACAGCCATGGGAGGGAAATTGTCCGCTCTGACAACAGCGGGAGGGGAATTGTCCGCTCTGCTAAAATAACGGGAGGGGAATTGTCCGCCGTAAAAAAATAACGGGAGGGGAAATGTCCGGGTTGTGAAAAAACATTCAAATTTACTGGGAGGGGAATCGTCCGGGAGGGGAATTGTCCGGATACATATATATATATATATAGATATATTTAACTTTACGTGTAATGGATGCACATTTACTGAACTTCCATTTTCACAAGATGCTCCTAATTTTAATGACTCTGAATTGTTGTTTACGACAAATTCAAATGAAACACAAAATCCTTCTGAAATAAGTCAAGATCATTTCCAGTGTTTCTTTCAAAAAGGACTGCATTTTATTAAAGTTATTGCGAGATCCTTACTTCCTAAAATATCGGAACTCCGGCTAATTGCACTAAAATCCAAAGCAGCTCGTATCTCAGTGTCAGAAACCTGGCTCGACTCTTCAGTACCTGATGGGGAAGTTAATGTCCCAAATTATTTAGTTATAAGGCGTGACCGCAACAGGAATGGAGGTGGAGTGTGCATGTTTGTACGTGACGACCTGGCGTTCAATATAAGAACAGACTTATCATGGATGGCGAAGAAATCTTATTCCTGGAACTACTCTTGCCAAGAAACAAGCTTATCATTGTTGGGACTGTCTACAGAACTCCAAAACATTCTAGTTTTTTGTACAGTTTTGAAAACATTTTAACTCATTTAAGAACAGATTGTGAAACTATAATTTAAGGTGATTTTAATATTTGTGTATTACATAAGTCTGGTTCTTTTTACAAGTCTTATTACAATATTTTACGGCTTTTTAATTTAGAACAGGTTATTTCAGAACCTACCTGAATTTTTAGTTCATCTATTAGTCTACTTGATCATATTCTATGTAATAACAAAGAAAAAATATCTCAGTCAGGAGTTATTCCTATGGGTCTGAGTGATCATATGCTTACTTTTTGCACAAGAAAAATAGTGAAAGTTCCTGCAAAGGAACATAATTATGTTAAAATCAGGTCTTTAAAAAATTATGATAAAACAGATTTTATTTCCAG